TACTTGATGCGAGCTTCGCCTTGGGACACGTTCTCCATGGTCATGATTCTTTTAATCTGATATACTCTTTCCCTTGTCGGGCAGTCCTTAACGATGGGTGAGTGGTTACCTTCGCAGTTGGGGCAGACAATTGGGAGAATGCATGGTACATTTTCTTCATGTCTGTGGTAACATTTACGGCATGAGCTAATTTTTTGCTTGCAATGCTGTGCATAGTGGTTGTGCCGGTAACACTTTAGGCACGTTCCAAAAGAGATGAAATGTTTAACGTCACGTTTGGTAAATTCGTACAGTCTTATCGTCTTGGGTAGATCGAGGCCTTTGAAAAGAATTTTAACCCTGGGTGTATTGACACGTACACCTTGTTCCATTTTGGTTACTCGGATCACCTTGAGGATGTCCACATCAGACTGGATGGCTTTTGTGAGTTCGTCTTCAGTGATGTCGACTGGAACTCCAAAAATGATTCCCATTTTCGAAACGAAATGTCAAAATATTTTTCCTTGGTATCCTGACTCCATCAATTTTTTATTGCCAGCTAGAATGTTCGCCGCAGCAACATTTCTGCATACAACTTTGGCCCTGCCAAAGCCAATCTTGTTTACGTCTAGGACGCCAGCGAAACCTAGATCTTTAATAATTCTGGATAGTGCGACACTGTTTATGGAGGAGATCTTTCCGTTTTGGTCTACTTTGTCCACGTATACAATGTATGGACCACGATGATCAACATCGCATTTAAAATCACATTTACCACCATTATTTTTTTCTAGGTTTGAGATCTGAGAGTTTCCACCCTCAACAGAAGGTACGTTAAAATTGTCTTTGGTTTGGCCCATTTTATAATCTTCTGAATTTTTGCTGTTTATTTGGATTTCAATAATCGAGTTATTTCTAGAAGGTTCATCATCTACGCGTGGTCTTTTTTCTCGCATTCCACTACGGCTTCTATCCCTACTTTTGGGTGGTTGTTTGCTCTCCCGCCTATAAAGCGGAGGAGAGATGTTAACCCCCTCCTCCATTAGGATTTAAAAAGTAACGTATTGTCCGTTATTTACGTGTTCGAGAATGATCTCGACCCAGCAAGTTCGTTTCGGTTTACCCGCACACACACACACAATGTTCTGGAGTTTGGAGAATAGAGCCGAAAAAGTAACGTGCGTCTACGCACAAATACACACACACAAAGTACGCCAACAGCAGCCCGGCCACAACGAACACTAAAAACACCACAATCTATCTAGCCAAAACACCACAGACTAATTGGGAATGCAATTTTGTTCCTTGATGGATTTTTTATGCACACACTAAAAGGCACTGTGTTTGCACAGAATTTTGCGCATTAGATTTTATAAATTTTCCACCAACAAAAAAGTTTTTGGTCTTCACAAAATGTTTTCGTTTTTCACAAAGATCGAGTTTTTATTTCATTAATCTTTTTGAAAAAGACTATATTTTTCACAAGAAATGTTTTAATTTGGTTTGCTTTTGTGCATATAATGAGGTTGGTTAGTTTTTTACTGTTTTGATAGCTCGATTTTTTCCGCGAAACGATTTGCACTCAACGAGATCTAGCTTACGATTGTTTAATTTTTTATTGTTTTGATACCAATTTTGACATTACAAGCCAAACAGGTAGACCTCTATACTTGCAATTTTTTTAAAGTTGACCTACCTTCCCTTCATTGTACCATGCATACAATTTCAATTTCGGGGAAAAATTGCTTTCACATTAGCTTTGTTCAATGTTTCTTCAACTTTTCGTGAGTCTGTCAAAAAAATCGTTTTATACCCTCCACCATACTATGGAGGATATATTAACTTTGTCATTCCGTTTGTAATTCCTCGAAATACTCATGTTAGACCCAACAAAGTATATATATTCTTGATCGGCGTAAAATTCTAAGTCAATTTAGCGAAGTCCGTCTGTCTGTTGTAATCACGCTATCACATGTTTATTTTTCCACTAGGCAGATTAAGTTCGTAAATGGGCCATGTAGGTCTACTTTTTTATATAGCCCCCATATATCAGTACCTCCCTATATTCGGTATTTTGACGATTTTAGGTGCTATACCCACCGAAATTGTTTGAGATGTCGTATATAAAGTTCGTAATGGATGTTACAGCCTATGACAGAAAATTGTCTATGCTGGTCCAGATCTTCCCACAGCTCCGATATAACGGTACCTCCATATACGGTATTTTGATGATTTTAGCTACATTATTCACAGATTATTTTAAGTTTGGAATTTGAATATGGTAATGGCTTATGACAAACAATGCCTCTGTAGGTCCACGTCGTACAGATCCCAATATAACAGCTATATTCGGGATTTTTAAAATTTTAACAGAATTTTTTAAGGATTTCATTTTTTGAAAATTTCCAAATTCGTTCCAAATGGTGGAGGATATTCAAAGTTCGGCCCGGCCGAACTTACTGCTTTTATACCATCCACCATACTATGGAGGGGATATTAACTTTGTCATTCCGTTTGTAACTCCTCGAAGTACTCATGTCAGACCCAACAAAGTATATATATTCTTGATCAGCGTAAATTCTAAGTCAATTTAGCGAAGTCCGTCTGTCTGTTGCAATCACGCTATCACATGTTTATTTTTCCACTAGGCAGTTTAAGTTCGTAAATGGGCCATGTAGGTCTACGTTTTCATATAGCCCCCATATATCAGTACCTCCCTACATTCGGTATTTTGACGATTTTAGGTGCTATACCCACCGAAATTGTTTGAGATGTCGTATTTAAAGTTCGTAATGGATGTTACAGCCTATGACAGAAAATTGTCTATGCTGGTCCAGGTCTTCCCACAGCTCCGATATAACGGTACCTCCATATACGGTATTTTGATGATTTTAGCTACATTATTCACAGATTATTTTAAGTTTGGAATTTGAATATGGTAATGGCTTATGACAAACAATGCCTCTGTAGGTCCACGTCGTATAGAACCCAATATAACTGCTATATTCGGGATTTTTAAAATTTTAACAGAATTTTTTAAGGATTTTATTTTTTGAAAATTTCCAAATTCGTTCCAAATGGTGGAGGGTATTCAAAGTTCGGCCCGGCCGAACTTACTGCTTTTTAACTTGTTAATTACTATAAACTAACATTGTGTCTCTGTCTCCGGGGATGGCATTCATACTGTAATTGATAACTACGTCTGCGTTTCACTCGTATTCGCAGACCACACTGAAAACGCATAGCTAACCACAGACCGACCTATCGCTTTATAAGATGTTATCCGTGCCCCAAGTGCTGCCGGCTAGCGCCATGAGAACCTTGTTCCTACTATTCAATTTATCGCAGATAGCTGTGGCTTGCCCCTTGACCTGCACATTTAACTGTGTTCTCATCTCCGCAGTCCATGTGGTAAATAGTGTGTCCGTTGATTTAGCGGCGCAAGCTTCTCGAGTTAGCTGTTCACCCTGACACATATGTCATCAATAACAGGACCCGACGCCATGATCGTACAGTCATCCGCATATGCTACGATCTCGATGCCGTCTGTGGGGCACGGAATTCCGAAAATGTAGAGGTTAAACAGTTTAGGAGATATCAGCCCACGTTGGGAAACTTCTGGTTTCACTCTACTGGGCTTGGACTTCTTATTACGAAATTCCACGTACGACTGGCTTCCACACATATAATTGACTATCCAACGTTCAAACTTGGCCGTCGTCGGACAGCTCGGCAAGGCCTTTGATAGATCAAGAGCCACTACTACTGTTCTATGGCACGGCCTGTTCTGATTGAGTCATCAACTGATATGTGTGGATATGGCATGTGGTGGTACCATGTAGTTGACGGAAACCATGTCTGATCAACTGAATAACTTCCTCTGACACTGGGGAGGAGTAAAGCCTCGAGAGTCTTTGCTACTGGCGACAAAAGCGAAATTGGCCTGTATGATTCGCCTTTGCTGGCATCCTTGCCTGGCTTCAGTAGCGGGAGCACCCTGCCCATTTTCCAGGCTTCAGGAACTATGTGGGTGACTAACGACAGGTTAAGGATTTTTGTTAGATATTTAACTCCCGGTGTATCCAATTGCTTCAACATTACCCTTGATATTCCGTCTAGGCCCAACGCTTTGGATGACTAAGCGTTTTGGATGACATTCGCAAACATCACCAATTGTCGTTTCGTCGTTAAATGTGATGCAGTCCTATCATCCTTTTTCCCAGGGTTAGAGAGTGACTTAACCGTTACCCAGAGTTTACTTAAATCGGTTCCAATGTTGCACTTTTTTGTGCGACAATTGTCTCTTGGCAGCCCTCTGTTATATTTTTTCCATTTGATCCAAAAATCTTAAAAATTAAATTTTAATGGCAATTGAATTCTTAGCGTGATTCTTAGCGATATTTATTTCCATAGTAATTTGTATGAGGCCAGATATAATATAATATATAATCGATATAACGGTCACATTTATGGTTCAAGCGATTAAAATATTTTATGAGTTAATGATTGTGGCTAAAAAACGAGTCTCTCAAAAACCTATCAAGACCGGATCAGATTTCGACGTAGTTCCCCCATAAATCCTTAGCCGTGGTATGTTCAATAATTGTATGCCTCAAATGTGCAAAATCTATCCAATCAATACACAAATTTGTGGATATGTCCTATAATTAGGACATATTAGAACAGAATTGAGGGTACCAAATTTCTGACAACAGCGTTGTATTTCCACGCCGAAGTCACGATTTAAGCTTTGATCTGGTACACCCGTAAGGATAAGATTCTCACACTTCGCAGGTTAAAACAAGAAAAACTTTCAGAAAGAATGAGTGTAAATTTCATGATAAGACGAAAAACAAAATTATTTTGTCTTACCAGTACAAAGACTCAATAAAATAAAATGGAATTACCAGTACAAACACATTATCAAATCACGTCTGGTCCATGCGATGAGGATAGTCGAATATGTTTCGTTTTACGTCGATTTACTCATAAATTGAAGAAAATGATAAATACAGCCAAAATCAGATTTTCCATTTAATTAAAAAAATAATTTTATGAGAGTTTCTCCCTTAAAACAATCTATATATTTTTGTTATTACGTAGTGGATACTAGAGCCTGATATAACTTTTGAACAGTAGTACTTATAATTTGGCGTAGATTCTCATCATCAGTAGTTGTGACAGCCTGCAATAATGATAATAGCAAAAAAATATTTTATTTTTAGAGAACTTCATACATGAATATATTCGCATATACGTACCAATGTTTCCAAATTAACCTCCACATGTCTATCAGAGACGCTTACTACTAGAATATCACCTTTGAACATTTTGGGAATACAGTTTTCGCCAAATGTGTCTTGTAATGTTTCTAAAAGACATTCTTTAAAATGTGTGCGGTCTGATTTTGATTGGCCAGTTGTGCCCTTTATATTGGTACCTCCCATTTCAGTCTGCATAATGCAAGCAAGAACGGAATCAGCAAACATGTCATTTACGGGGGTAGCTTGCCACTCCATAACAATAATTTTTGCATCTACGGTGAGTTCTATACATGCGAATGCTCGAATTCGTTTGTCCTCCTCCAACACCTGGACCGTACCAGCTCCACCAATACGATCCAACAGTAATTGCAATGTACTCAATGAGCTATTCCACGGTATGGATTGACGCTGTGTCACGACAGACATACTCATGTCTGTATATTCTGCAAATTAACATAATAATAGTATTTGTTTGATCAATGATCTGGTTAAATAATAAAACCCTCATTATACAGAGAGAAGCTGTGTTTTTCTGTTTTATTTAGAAATGTGTAAGGGACAACTTAAAATAAACTGGAATATATGTAACTCGGAACTAGACTTTTGTTCTGTTTATATTTCAAATTTTCCACAAACTTTGTATATTGGGAAAAACTTACAAAACACGAATGAAATTTTGATTATATTCCAAGATAAAAGGACTAGATTATTTTCCCAAAATCAATAAATATATATTGTCCGTTATCGTCGAAATAATGAATTTTTGTTGCAACTGAATTTGAATTTCATTTGCTTTCCTTCATTATTCAAGATAATACACAAATTGTGTATATATTTTGACAGAATAGAAGCGCACAAAGAAAACTTAGGATGTAACTTGACTCTGCCCTTTGTTATTATATCATGGGGACAACTTACTTGATAAATCCGAAGCAGAGAGCAGATGATATTTGAAATCACGCTTAACCAATACACCTGACAATTTATTTCCGACTTCTGGTTTAGATGCAGCTAATGTACCCATAACTTTTGCTGTTTTTTCTCCACGAAAATATAATTCTACAGAGTGAGTATTACGAGGATTGTAAAACTTGATATCATTATTTGGATCTGCTTCATATTCTCGTTGCAAGGCCATCTTAAGTCGGGACATTTCATTCTGCTCTCCGTGCACTAATACCTGAAATACGGGAGACATAAATTAGTGTATTGCACATGAGAACGTTATCGAATCATATGCATAAATTTTACATATAGTCACAAATTTAAATATTAAATTAAAATTAAATTTAAATATTGGAAAAATATGGTATAAATTCTATATAATTATATAAAGAACCTACATTATCAGGATAATGCCCATAATTTCATTTGTATAGCTTTCACAATAATTTAAGCTTTTAGCAATGCCAAATTTGAGCACTTCCGTTGTTTTAGAAAGTGTCTTGTCGAAGGGTGGCTGTAAAATTTTGTAGTGAATTTTAATCATGCTTTAATGATAAGTACGGAATGATTGATAAAATCCTTTGAGAAAAGACAATTAGTCAAAAATGATCGCGTACGGTCCATTTAAAGTGTTATAAAAGACTTGATCCTATTTTTAAGACATAGGCTTTGATTTGAGAGTTAGAAACCTTAATTATATAGAATATTTATTAAAAAATGTATATCAACTGTTCACATAGATCAGTGGACCTGGGAGGTACTGTTTTATGAGGCCATACCAAAATATGTACCTATGTTGAAAATTTTCTGTAAGATGGTTCTCTATCCCCAGAGTAGGCTTAATATACAGTTTAAGCCAAATCGATTGGAAAATACGATCAATACCGTCGAAATAGGTAAAATCAGAAGGTATCTTTATATGGGCGCTACTCTGAAACATAGACCTACATTGAAAGCTTTCTTCTACCCCTTATAATCCAAGATGACAAATAGAGGCCAAATCAAAAATATAGCAGAACAACATAGCAAGTCAAACTGAAAAAAAAAAAACTCGCGTGACTTAAATAAGTAAAAATAGTTTTATCCACCTCATAATTGAGGGCAGAATGATTTCAGAATAGTCATATATAATTACTATTTTACACCCATTACCGTATGATGGGAATTAATTTCATTTGCCATTTAAATTGTAAGTTGGAGACCAAATAAAGTCCATATTTTTCATCATAGTACAATTCAATGACGATTCAACAAATATTCGGTCCCGTGCTACTTTCTTATATTTGTAATTTGTTCATGTTTTCACAATTTATTTCATATAGATGTCCATCCCAAATCAACGTTCCCAACCAATATTCTCTTGGGGGTTACAAATTCTACACGTAACTGAAATTAAGAAGTTAGTCTTGTCAACTATCAAAATGAGTTTATGAGTCAGTCGTCGTTGAGCATTGACCGAGAGCGGACGCATCTAAGGAGCGTAGAGCATATTACATTTTTAAACTTTGTATTTATTCCCAGAATTACTTTTATTTTTAAATAAAAACCATCTTGACAGAATCAGAAGTGGGATAAGAACAGAAATCTACAAGGAATTTCATCATTTTGGATAAGAATTGCAGAAAAATACTCAAAGAGCTGAGAAACTAAGGCGTCAAAGTGATGTAGTAGTGAAGAGCTCAATGCAAAGCAACAACGACGACCAAAGGAGAAACCACGCAAAGGCACCTAAACTCAAAAGTTCGAGTGAGTTTAGTGAGAGTGTGTAACGTGCTCAAAGAGAGCAAAGGAGAAAGCATCAATCAAAGGAGAATGTACAAAGGTATACTCAAAAGTGTGAGTGAGTAGGACAACGATAGTACATCAAGGAGATTGAAAGCAAGACATAAAGAGGGGAACCCCGAAGAAGAAGTTTAAAAAGGGAAAAGTTAACGTATATTTTTAGGGCGTGCGGCTTCTAAAAAAAAAAGGAATAGTTCTAGATTTGCTGAAGTAACGAATTAAAAAGGAAAATTCACAAGGAAAAGTATGAAGGTGAAAATAAGTTCGTTAAAGGTTGCGGAGCTAGACAAATTATTACTGGCAAGAAGCTTACCACGAACAGGAAATAAGTCCGAGAAAATTGCTAGACTCATGGCTTGCAATGGAAATGACGAAGTGGAAGTTGAAGATTCAGAGTCACAGGAGGATTTCCATGGATTTGATGAAGCTGAGACGGGTGATGATTCTCTAACAAGTCAAATGCGAGAGCTAAAGGATATAATGTTGACTCTAGCAAGAAGTGTGCAACAGTTAACAACACTTTCAACAGAAAGGGCTATTACGTCAAATGCAGGGTTAAATTCAAGGGATACAGAACAGCAAGTTCCAGCTGAAGTAATATCAAGACAATCTGGTTCCGGAACATCTGGTTGTTTAAAGGATTACATAGTAATGATACCAGACTTCGATCCAATTAAAGGAAATGTTACATCAGTCCAATTCATTGACAAGGTTGAAACGTTGCAAAGGCTTCATGGATGGTCAGATGAAACAACTTTGTTTGCAGTTCATCATAAAATGAGTGGTGTTGCTAAAATGTGGATAGATGCTTTACCAGTGGTTGAAACATGGAAAGAGTTCAGACAACAATTTTTAAAGGATTTCCCAAGTCGAGTAAGTGTTGCTGACATTCATCGTGAACTTATAGCTAGGAAACGAAACTCGAATGAGTCTTTGGTGGAATATTATTACGCAATGTTGGCCATAGGGAAAAGAGGAAGCGTAGATGAGGCATCAATACTGTCGTACATCATAAATGGTCTCAATGATAGCAGCTTAACAAGAACACTTTTAGCTATGAACCCGCAGACATGTAGTGAATTATTAAGGTCGTTGGAGAATTTGACCATACAAACGTATGCAAGGAAGCAAACAAAGAATGACGAGGATGACAAAACCGCAAGTGTCTCAGGTGGAGCGCCAACCAAGGGAGTAAAATGTTTCAATTGTAACAGGTTTGGGCACATCTCAACTAGTTGCCCACAACCATTGAAGAAGCCGAAGTGTAGTAAATGTGCAAAGATTGGTCACGATGCATCGCAATGCAAAGGTAAAGGTACAACTGTGGCAGCAATGACAGAAGAGTCTAAGGATTACTGCCCACCGGTTATGAAAGATGTTACGGTCAATGGTAAGACATATGAAGGTTTTGTGGACACTGGAAGCGACTTTACCTTAATGCGGAAAGCTGTAGTTCCAGAGGGTTGCGATATGGAAGTAACGTCAAAAAGAATGAAAGGTTTTGGTGGATCTATTGTTGAAGTGGTGGAAATGTTTGAGGCTAACGTTGTCATCGACGAGGAGAGTTTAATGACTACCATTTATGTAGTGCCGAATGACTTGATGCGATATGACGTTCTCTTAGGAAGAGATGTATTGTGTAAGAAGCAAACAAAACTTACAATTGAGCATGGTGTCTTGAAGGTGAGGTCAACAATGCCAAGTACATTTAATGTCGGAGAAAGTCTGGATGAGCATCAAAAGGAAAAATTAGACCAAATACTGTCGTCATTCAAGGACTGTTTTGCTGAAACCCTTGAAGACCTTGGAAAGTGCTTCAATATTGTCACAGATTGCAATTCCATAGCAACAACAAAGGCGACGTCTCCATTACCCCCTCGTATAGCTAGATGGTGGTTTAAATTGCAGGAGTTTGATTTTACCATTACTCATCGCTCAGGTGCCAAGATGACTCACGTGGATGGGATGAGCAGAAGTCCAACGTTACCATCAAGTCAATCCCGAACAGTAGCGGAAAATGTTCTGGCACTCACAACGAACATTAACGACTGGGTCTATCAACTGCAAATGTCGGATAAGAAGCTGAAACACATCTTTGAAGTTCTCAATGGTAATTTGCAAAACGAGGCAAATGAAATTAAGCAGATCAAAGCGGACTATGTAATAGAAAATGGGAGGCTATTTCGCAAAGTCAACAATATGAAACGTATGGTGATTCCAGAAAGAGTCCGGTGGCGAATAACTAAGGCTTGTCATGATGATTTGGGACACTTCGGTGAAGAGAAAACTCTCCAAAGGCTTCAACGTGATTTCTGGTTCCCGAGAATGAGACGTTATGTAAAATCATACATTCAGTCATGTCCGGAATGCTGCTACAACAAGGTAAAAGGAGGCAAGGCAGAGGGTGAACTACATATTGAGGAAGTCCTACCAATTCCATTCAGAAGTATCAACATCGACCACATGGGTCCCTTCCCAAAAAGTAAGAAAGGAAATCAATATGTATTCTTGATTGTCTGTTCGTTCAGTAAGTACACCATTATAAAGCCAACCAGGAATACAAAGACTGCCCCGGTTATAACAGTGCTGCGAGAAGTTATGTCGATTTTCGGACAGCCACGAAGAATTGTATCGGATAAGGGAACGGCGTTCACGTCTAAAGAATTCCAACAGTTTGTGGAATACAACGGAATACAACATGTACAAACAGCAGTCCGAACACCAAGAGCCAATGGCCAAGCCGAGCGGATCAACCAGACAGTTTTGAATGCGTTGAAATGTCTAGTAGGTGATACAAAAGAATGGGACACTGAGACAACGACGATACAGTGGAGTATTAACTCGCAGCTGAATGCGACTACAAAGTTCAGTCCAAATGACTTAATATTCAACTTTAGTCTCAGAGATGTCAGTTACAATAGAATTATCCAGGCGGTTGGTGATGAAGAAAGAGAGAATTTCGATGTTAGGGTAATTCAACAGCAGGCTGTTGCTAACATCCAGAAGCAAAAGGAAAAATGGAAAGCAAGATTTGACAGCCGTCATTCCAAGCCAACTCAGTACAAGGAAGGCGATTTGGTGGTGATAGACACGGTACCGCAGCCTACAGGAGAATCACATAAGTCGGATGCGCGGTATAAAGGACCATACATCGTCACGAAAATTATCGGAAACGATCGTTATCTGGTAGAGGATCTGCCGGATTTAAGTTTGAAGCAAAGGAAATATTGTGGTGTTATGTCGACCGATCATATGAAGCCCTGGTGCTATGGTGATCCAAGTCTCGAAATCGAAGATAAAGATGAGTCTGATGATGGTTCGCCCAGGAGGGACGAAGAGTCAGGAGAGGCCGAATTGTCAACTATCAAAATGAGTTTATGAGTCAGTCGTCGTTGAGCATTGACCGAGAGCGGACGCATCTAAGGAGCGTAGAGCATATTACATTTTTAAACTTTGTATTTATTCCCAGAATTACTTTTATTTTTAAATAAAAACCATCTTGACAGTCTTTTCAAATAAACATTCCCATCTCTGCATTTTCTGTAATTTACCTTGTCAAATTTCCCTACATAAAAACAGGTTCCCATCTTTGATTTGTGTATGTACAATTGATTTATAAATACAAATTTTGACAATGAGATATTGTCAAATAAATATTTTTTGAAAAAATTGTACACATATGATTGCATGACTCTACCTCCTTGATTCTACCATGACGTATCCCATTGGACTGTATCAAATTTAAAATTCTATCGTTAACGTTGCGAAGTATTCTGATCTACTAACCGAATACTATCCACTTAAAATTTCCTAAATCACAGATTAACTGTTGCACAATATATTTTCTCGGTATCGCACACAGTGGTACCTGCGATTTAAGTATCTTTCTTAAAGGTTTCGAAATACTTCTCGGAGGATATGAATCCTTTTCTTACTACATTTTTAATTTTATAGTCCACATATAGCAGTCCCTGTTTATATCGGTATTTCACTGAATGAAGTCTCAAATGAATTTCGAATTTTGAATTCTTATAGGACGGATTATTGCCATATAAAAAAGTAGGTCCACGTTTTGATATGAGCCCCACACAGCTGTGTCAGCCATTTTTGTTTGTTTGATTGCTATCGTATCTTCCAGCTGAAGCACGAAATAGGTCCTGCGGTTGGAAGGTTAGATGTTAATTCTAATCTGAAAGTTCAAAATTTAATATCGTACTGTGCCGGGCCGAACCTGTAGTACCATATACCATGGTAGTAAACATTACGAACTTCAAATACAAAATTTGAAAAGATTCCGGTGAATAATGTCGCTAAAATCATGAAAATACCGGATATCGGGAGGCATATGGGGGCTATACGAAAACGTGGACCAACATGGTCCATTAACGAACTTAACCTACCTTCTGGTAAATTATGCATGTATGCTAAATTTATTATTTTATTTATTTTATTTTATTATTTTATAGATAGCGTGATTACAACAGACAGATGGACGTCGCTAGGCCGGCTTAGAATTTTACACTGATCCAGAATATATATACTTTGTAGGGTCTATTATGAATATTTCGAGGAGTTACAAACGGAATGACAAAGCTAATATACCCTACAAAGAATGGTGGAGGGTATAAAAATAATATATGTATGTAATATACTTGACTTGAAAATAAATAAATTCTTGAACTTGTTCGCGGGTTTTTTACGGTAAATGTTTAAAGCTGCTTACGAAGTTTGCCAATAAAATGGGCTATCAGTTTGAAATTCGATTCCATTGAACAAATTTTCTCGATTTGAGAATTTTTGCAATGAGTTCTTCTTTGTGATTTTTTAGCGATTTTAAAATAGTAATTATCCTTTAATTTTTGTGTGACCGCGTTAATTTATTTCAACATCATCTGTTTAGTTTCGCCACCACACAATTAAGTAATGCACTTCAATGTAACCCACCCGCAATTTCCGTTCTCCAGTTTCAAATAGAAAAAAAACGTTCGCACACGATAAAATGTTGATATTTTCTTATTCTTTCTGATCCTCTACCCAATAAATACTTAAAATCTATAAATAACGTCGCTTTATAGTACCCTTTTCAAAAAGAAAAAACACTACAAATGTTCTTTCGAAAATAATAAGTTAAAATAAAATAAAAAATCATGCAAAATAAAGCATTACGCATGGTAGAATTAAGAAGGTAAAATCATGCTGATTTTGAAAAACATAAATTTAAATTCAAAATAAAAACTTAAATTTTGAATTTAATCTTTACATCAGATTTTGAGTGTGCGGACGTACTGGAATGAGCAAAGTTTGAAAAGAATAGAATTATTATATAACATTTTGTGAGGTTTATGAAGAGAAGAGAAGAAGTGACCATGCCAAATCTCGTGTTGGCAGAAACATTGGGATATGTGAAATTCGAAGACAACTCTCTCTCCATATTTTAGGGAGGGAGAAATCAGAAGGACCGATATATTCCATTTCCACACTAGATCCTGTATTGATGGCAATTTTAAGGTGTGCCTTGCCTTTTATGGACGTGATTGTTATTCAAACTTTTGACCCGTGGGAAGGTACTATCAGGAGTGGTCCGTTCCATCTGTTCTTGGTGCAAATATTAGAATTTATTTTGAAAAAATTAATCAATATATATCAATCTATGCACGCAATATGTGCTATTGGTTTTTAAAATTTGACATTCTTTTTAAGTAGCCGGCCCTCGAATGAGACTTGAAATCTTCTCCTCATGTCAAAACAGGCTACTAGAATCAAAGTTTAGAAATAATGAGGAAAAGACTGCAATTTGGGAACCTTCTGGAATCCAAGTCACAGGAAGTATGGGTTTCTCTCGAAAAAAATTATGTTGTTTTAATAAAGATAAAAAGGCCGATCTTCGTTAAAAATACTTACTTTATGGGACACATGTTAGGCTAATCATGGATGGAGCCGACTACGTAATACCTTTAACCACTCTGAATGCTTGTTGAAATGACTTTACCTTCTTTGATTCTACCATGGCATTACTTAGTCTATTCCAGAACTGCAAGAATGTAAAAGTTTCTACTACGATAACCGATTTTCCCTTTATGATATCGGGGAAAATTGCAAAAATAGTAGATTATTGCACGTTCTGGAACATACCAACTATAGTGCATTTCAAAAGTCAAAATAAAAAATTTCTAATCTTTAGGATTTTATCCCTTTTTGCCAAGGGACAATTCCGAAATTGTCTGAATAGCTAAAATCAGACCAGCGGTTCTTGAGTTATAATCGTAGTAACTAAAACAACTTTCTTTTATATATAGATAATAATTATTACCATGGTACAATCAAAAATGTAAGGTAAAGCTACCAGCTGGTTACATTTTTTTTTGAGAGTGCCCGACCTCTTTCAATTTTGTGTATGTATTTATGTTTGAAAATAAAAACAAAAAACTTTCATTTTTTCTAGAAGGAAGCGTACATGGCGGGATGCACACTAGTAATATTAACCATATTAACCATTGAAATATTAGACATTTAGGATCATGTTTTTGAAAAAGATCCAGGTATTCCATTTATCTTTCGAACTTTTAATACTTTTCAAAACTGAGTAGATACATACAAAACTGAGAATAACTTGTTGCATCTAGTTTTGAATAATTGTGACAGAAAGTGGGCATAACCACTGGGATATATTTCACTAGTCTTACAAAGCTGGTCTACTTCCTTATTGTACTATAATTATTATAACATAACGAGTATGGAGACACACTTATTGTCTTGCAAGTTAATTTCTCAATGTGACACATTGCGTTGGGCCGCTCTGGTGAATATATTTTTTAAGAAACTTACCACATGCTGCGGTTTTAAAAGGCGTATAAATTCACTGGTTTGTTGGTAATCCGTGTGCGCCGAAAAGGAAATATAATCGACTGACATATTTAAGGGTAGTTTTTGTCCTGACAATGTCGTTATCTCCTCAGGTTCCGAAAGAATGGTTTTTGCCAAAGTTCCCTCTACACAGTAGCCAGCGATTATTACGCCGTTTTTCGGATCCGTGCACCAATTTTCAAATAATTCTCTAGATAGACCACTCTGCATCATGCCAGGAGATGCCATTACTACGCATGGTCCAATATCGTCGAAATGATCAATGCCCTTAAGGTTTGATATGTGACGAAATACAAAGGGGTTATTCACGGCAATCTGTCGTCGAATTTTGTCGTTCATAGCATTGATGTAGGTCTGATACACAGCCATACATTTCTTAGCAAGCGAAGATGCGTAGTAAATAGGTATATCATGAAGTTCGGGGTTCTGTGACCAGTACTCGTCTAATATCAACAAAAGTTCCTGAGCTCTTCCCAATGCAAATACTGGGATTAAACATCTGCCACCCTGAGTGACAATTTTCTGCACCAAAGAAGTAAAGCGATTTTCTCTGTCTTCTCTTTTCTCATGAATGTGCGTGCCGTAAGTGGATTCTGTTATTAAGACATCCGGTTTCATGTTTGGTATTTCTGCTGCCATTAAATGGCGATCTTCCTGCCGGGAAAAATCGCCAGTGTATAGAATCTTTACGCCTGCTATTTCTATCATAAACATTGCAGCGCCAAGCACATGGCCAGCATTATAAGCACAGAATCGAACACCCATAACATCGCGTTCTTCGTGAAAATTTATGGTTTCTATCTTTTCCATGGAAGCTTCTAAGTCAGCTTCTGTATAAAGCATTTGTTCGGTGGAAATATTACTAATCTTAATATAATCCGACAACATCCATCTATATATCGCCTTTGTTGCATGGGTCATGAAACAACGTCCTCGGAAACTGGTTTTCATCAAAAACCAAGGAAGCGCTCCACAATGATCTAAATGAAAACTAGAAAATCATTTTAAAAATAGTGTTTCTTCTGAATATGCATGAGGATGTTCTTACTGAGATATAAATAACAAATCTACTTCATCGGCTTCAATCAAATCCACATAAGGTAGGGCGTCCATTCCTGACAATCCAGGATGAATTCCACAATCTAACTGAAGAAAAATGTAATTAGCACAAGCACATCATTAAAGCCACTATCATTACAACCAGTCTTGTCTCTATTAAAATAAATTTCTTACCATAATCTTTTTTCCTTTAAATTCCAACATTATGCAGGACCGGCCTACTTCCTGTCCAGCACCACTAGAAACCAAATTTAATATTATTGACAATAGCAAATAAAAAACATACCCCACTTACAGTGGCTTTATTAGCAACAAATCACTTTCCTCTGCCGGAACATGTCCATCATTCCTTTGAGACATTGTATTTAAATATGGGTATGTTTTTCTTGCTAACCAATTGCAATACTGAATCCAAGTCTCCTGCTCCACCGTTTCGATTTATCGATTCAACAACTTTTAGTAAACTAGTCGAGTTTCACTGTCGCTATCGATTTTTCTGACGAATACTCTCACAATAGCTGTGTCAGATTTCGTTTGCAGTAATAGCGCGGTTACGTACCGAATCTTTATCCGGGTTAAAGTGATATTTGACTAACCACTGAATGTTTTCCATAGTAAAATTTATTGTGATTAATCAATTATCAAGTTTAACCGGGATAAGGTTTGTATCTAAACGAACTATAAGATTTTCTCTGTAATTTATTGTAGTAAGTTCATGTTAGAATAGCACAGGTAACAGCAAGTGTTTTTGTACGTAATGCAAGTGTCAGAGTAATATGTCTTAAAATATAAACAAAACAATAAATTTTCAATAAATTGTTTTAATTTCAAATATGTTCATTTTTGGAGTTTGTCTTATTAAACTTAAAATGCAGAAGAATATTTCTTAAAATATTTAATTTTATGGTTGGAAACATTGATATGTTAAATTTTTGAAAAAGTTTTATCAAAAACAAGTATATTTTTAAATATTTTCTTATACGACGCAAATATATGTTATAATATGAATTTTTTTCAACATTTTTTACAAATTTCAATAATTTTTCATTCAACATTTTCAATTCCAAAATCGGTTTGACAGTTAATTGTCCCAGCAGCTGTGTCGATGCGACTGCCTGTATTATTGTACCATCCTACCGTATCATCCCCCTGAATATACAGTGATTAGCCATAGGTTCAAATCAGAGGGCTGCAACGAGTATGAAAATAAGTAAAAAATCAGTAAGTTTGAATACCCTTCACCATTTGGAACAAATTAGGAAATTAAAAAAAAAAAAATAAAATCCATTAAAAATTCTGTTAAAAGCTTTAAAATACCAAATATCAGAAGATGCCGATATATGGGTGGATATACGATATTGTGTACCTATATAGACAAATCTATGTCAAATTACTCAAAAAGAACTTCTTGTGTAGAGTTTCAGACAATTCCGTTAAAAATTTCGCTAAAATTATCAAAATACCGAATATCGGGAGGTACCGTTATATGGGGGCTATACGATATCGTGGACCTATATAGATAATTCTCTTTCAGGGGGTAAACTACTCACAAAAGACTCATTGTGTAGAATTTCGTTAAAAATTGTGGCTGAAATCATCAAAATAGCGAATATCGGGGAGTTCCGTTATATGGGGGCTATACGATATCGTGGGTCTATATAGATAATAATCTTCCAGGGGATAAAATACTCACAAGGAACTCCTTTTGTGGATTTTCAGACAATTCCGTTGAAAAATGGGACTAAAATTATCAAAATACCGAATATCGGGAGATACCGTTATATGAAGGCTATACGATATCGTGGGCCTATATAGATAATAATCTTCCAGGGGATAAAATACTCACAAGGAACTCCTTGTGTGGATTTTCAGACAATTCCGTTGAAAAATGGGGCTAAAATTATCAAAATACCGAATTTCGGGAGGTACCGTTATATGAAGGCTATACGATATCGTGGACCTATATAGATAATTATCTTCCAGGGGATAAAATACTCACAAGGAACTCCTTGTGTGGATTTCCAAACAATTCCATTGAAAAATGTGGCTAAAATCATCAAAATACCGAATATCGGGGTCTACCCTTTATGGGGGATATACGAATTCGTGGACCTATATAGACAACTCTCTTTCAGGGGGTATAGTAGTAGTTTTCAGGCAATTCCATAGAAAAATGTGGCTAAAATCATCAAAGTACCGAATATCGGGGGTTACCGTTATATGGAGGCTATACGATATCGTTGACCGATATAGCCCATCTTCGAACTTGACCTGCAGACAAAAGAGAGATCTGTGCAAAATGTTAGCTTCCTATCTCAATTCGTTTCGACTGTAGTATGACAGACGGACGAACAGGGCTAAATCGTCTTAGAATTTTACGCTGATCAAGAATATATATACTTTGTTGGGTCTAACATGATTATTTCGATGAGTTACAAACGGGAAGACGAACTTAATATACCCTCCATACCATGTATGGTGAGGGTATAAAAATGTAGTCATACACGGCTTCTTACATAAATTTGGTTGATGCAGTCGTTTGGTTTGATTTGAATGAAAATATTGTTTCGCATCGGATCGAATCGAACATTCGTTTTGAATTACATAACTTACAATCAAACATGAGTGTTCCAAAGCGTTTGATGTGTTCAGCAACATGACTTGATCGAGCATGTGAATTGAAGTGAGTAATCACAACTGTGATTTTTATACCCAGAGCCATATGGCTAAATAGGGTGTGCATAATTTAATACTGCCAAAACGTGCCACATCGAAATAAGAGTTTTAGACCTTTGGAGTTGATCTAGCGATGTCCGTCCGTCCGTCTGTCCGGCTGGTGGGCACGATAACTCTAGAAGGGAGTACCCGATTTGGTACATCGGAATATTATCAAACTTAGATCGAGTTCGAAGATGGACAATATCGGTCCACTCCTTCTGGTACCTGCTTTCACCTGCTTTTTCCGGCCGATCATCGGAAGCATAGCTGGTTGCTACCGGACGCGTCCACAGGTTGCGGATAGTGGAACGCCCAATAGATATATTGGGCAGCTGCGAATTAAATAAGCAGTCGCGGACAACTCAGCGGTTCCGGGGGGAGAGTCTCGGAATAAATATCCGAGTGCCGATGATCCCTGGTTCGACGAGGCGAACAACTGGCGCCTCGAATTATCCAGTGATCGGTGTTGGTCTACCGAGGAATAAGACCCCCTAACGCTGGGGTGTTACGTAAACCGCGTTCCTCGGTTTGCAGTCAGGGTACCGACTGTATTCGAACGGTTGCCTCACTGATACCTGGGCGCCTCAGTGAGTAACAGGCTTAGTTGCCAAGTCCTTGCCATGGTAGGGAGGCTATGCCATGGTGGACCTCGTCTCCTCCAAGTCCGACCTTTCATATGGAGAAAAATAATAGCAACAAAAACAAAACCCCAACTTCCACCAACGACACCATTGTTTCCAAAGACCAAGGACCGGCCACAGGACATGATTTCAAATTCGGAAGGGGACGACATACTGAGCTACAGTGACGTCATCCATGACAACATCCAGCGACATAGCGAACAGTTGTCCGCCCTCCTGGAGAAGACAAAAACACTAAGGCTCAGTCAGGAGAGTACTCCTTCTGGCTTTGGAAATGACACACCACTTTCCGATGAGGAACTGGACATCACGGTCATTTCCTCGTCTCAAAGTGGTAAGTCATCTCAACAAGCCACCAAGAACACTCCCAGCGAGACTTGCGCGTAGTCCAAAACCCAGGAGGGAATAACGTCACCAGCAGCCACCAGCCTCGATCGGCAAGACGCCATCATTGTAGGCACTGGCGGGGATCCTGCCAGAAACCCTACCTCTCGTGATGGCGCCGACCCAAAAGAGGTGAAAGCAAAGCGGGGATGTTGGAGATGGTAACCCTGCAATTACCAAAGCTAAAAAAGTGTAGCCAAATTTGAAATACCACTGTTATAAATGGCCGAAATATCCCAAGCGAAGAGGGAGACGAAACTAAATTTAAGCCAACATCTTCATTTTGTTTATTTTTGTTGTTTTGCTTAATGTCACTTTTTATATAAATAGGCCTTTATGGCCATTGTTTATTCCCTTTTTTGTTAGAACCCAAAAATAAGTAAGTCGTGTTAATTTTTATTGTTTTTAAATTAAATATTTTTATTTTTTTTTTTGTAAACTTAATTTTTGTTAAATTTTTAAAATTCTTACAGAGAATAAACAACGACAACTAAACTCACTATTTGTAAACAAACAAACCAAATAAACGCAGCTTTTTATTTTGCCGGAATCCTGCCAGTCTTGTCATTTGGGAGCCAGCCGAGTTTAGGTTTATTCCTGGAAAATAACAAAAAAGGACAGGGGATATAAAAGGTCGGTAAATTACTGCAAAAAATTTATCGGCAAAGACCACGCACAGATAATGGAGAGAGAGAGGATTCTGATCAAGATGAACCTCAAGGTAATTGCTAAGTTCGAACGGAACCACCCGCACTTACCGAGCTGTTCTCTAAACCAGAATCTTCTACCTCTCCTACAATCTGCTATCAGCAGTAGGGTAAACCAACCTGTGGTTCTACCCTCTGCTGAGGGCCCTGCGGAGGTCAGCAATTCCATCGCCACTAACAAGACCACCACGGTCATTGTTCACGAGGCGACGGCCAATGCTGACACTGCTGGGTCGAATCCACCTGCCAAAAAGCGCGGGAAAAATAAGGCCAAGAAGCCGAAGCCCTTGTAGTTCCACCGGAGGCCGATACCTCTTCACGTGCAGCGTTGAAAAGGGGTCGGTCTACGGAAGCACCACATCCTGAGGCCAAGAAGGCATCCAAGGGCCCGGCTTCTCAGCCTTTGCCCACTCCGTCCGCTAGCAGCCGGTCGCGACTGAACCTCCCCCACCAGCCCCTTCAAGCTCTAAGCCTGATAAGGTTCACAAGGAGAAGTCAAGTCACAAACGGCAGGCCAAACAGGACGGAAGAGGAAATACTCGCAAACTATATACCCGGATAATCTTCGGGTAGCAATCATCGACAAGGCTGAACCGGAAGGTAAAATCAGCGACAGTCGATGGTTGCTATTCGAAGATCGTCTGAGAGAGCTTGTCTTCACGGGAGAGGGTGACACACGAAGTATGCAGTTCGGCAGTGCAACCCTTTACAAAGGCGTGAAAGTAATGTTCTGCGAGAACCAGGAATCTAAGGATTACCTGGTCACCGCAGTATCTGGCTTTCGCGATCTCTGGCAGGGATGTGATCTGGCGGCTGTATCCTTGAAGGACATCCCCTGCCGTAAGGTATTGACAGCTTGGGTGCCACCACCATCCGTGGATCCGGCACGCATCCTGACAATACTGGGCAAGCAAAACCCCAACCTCAAGACGGACAACTGGCGTCTTGTCAGTTCAAACACTGAGGGAGGGGGCCTGGTCATCAAGGTATCTATGGATACGGATGGCCAGGAATACCTTCAAGCTCGTGGGGGAAAACTGCATTTCGGCGCTGGATGGATCCGTTTCCGTCTAACGCCGTTGCATTAGGTGGAAGAAAACAGCAGCTACTTAGCATCATGCAGATTAATCTGCATCACTGCAAAGCAGCTCCTGCAGAACTCCTCCTATCCCTCTCGAAAGCTGAAGTAGACATAGCTCTGGTTCAGGAACCCTATATATACAATAATAGGGTAACTGGACTAGGGAGTGGACAGTACGTCTCTTATGCGGTCTCCAATGGTGATAAGGTAAGAGAGTTTAAACCTTATCTTCCTTAGCAACAACAGTGGAGGAGACGTTACGGTAGCGAGATTGGAGTCTAAATCCGGAAGGGTTCACATTTTCATATCTCTATATCTACCGTACGAGCGACCTGACCCACCTGGACATGAAGTAGAGGAGCTGCTCGAAGATCTGGCTGACAAAGGGCATCTAATCATAGGTTGTGATGCCAACGCACACCACTTCCAATGGGGTAGCAACGATACCAACGTCAGAGGTGAGTCGATTTTTGATTTTATCTTAAAATATAATCTCAAAATTTGTAATAGGCTGGATTGATACCATGCTTAGCAGCAGAATTATCAACTCGAGCATTGGGGAAATATACATCAGGAAATCGGTCACGAGGGGCACTCCGCAAGGGGGTGTCCTATCACCATTACTCTGGCTTTTGGTCATCAATAATATAATTATGGATCTAGAGGTAACAGGAACGAAAGTAGTCGCATACGCTGATGACGTCGTCCTGTTAATCGCCGGGAAATTCGTGCAAACAATCTCGGATCTAATGCAAGGAGCTCTAGTCACCTTATCACGGTGGGCGCGTCGCAATGGACTAGGCGTGAACCCATCAAAGACAGAGCTCGTCATTTTCACTAAGAGACGTAAATACCCTACATTTACACCACCGAAACTAGATGGAGTCAGATTAAACCTTTCGCTAGAAGCCAAATACCTTGGCACTATCCTTGACCACCGACTAAGTTGGAAGAGGAACACCGAGGAACGAGCTAAGAGAGGCTCGGTTAAACCACCACTGTGCCATTTCCTGCAGGTTATTCACAAACACTACTCTGAGAAGAACCAACAAAAATGGCTGGATGAAATTGGTTGTACCATCCCCAAACGAATCTGGCCCACGCTCTCGGAGAAGAGAACAAGGTCGCTGATGTCATTGTCAAAACCTGATTTAATACTCGTGGTGGGCATCATCACAGGTCACTGTAAGGTGAGGGCTATGACATCGAAATGGGATAGCGACGGCATTGACTACTGTAGGATCTGTCAAGATGAAGAAGAAATCGAGACAATCGAACACTTACTCTGTCACTGCCCAGCACTCATTAATGTGAGGCATAGGCTAGTGGGAGAACTAGTGTCACATGACTTGTCATCTTTTTCTAACACTGACCCAGTAGTAATACTTCAACTAGCCAGAAGACTCAAGTGGCTAAAGACGACACGGCAAACTCCTCAGCCGTAGATTCTCACTCTACTACACTATCCCTTATCTTCATTTTCTCTATCAATCACTTTTTTCCTCTATCTCTCAAAACTCTTTTCTAGGATGAACACAATGGACCTATAGGTCTCCGAGTGGAGCGGTTGCCATATGGCAATCGCGCGTCCCTTAACCTAACCTAACCTACCTGCTTTCACAGACAGAGAAAGGATAATCCAATTTTGCTGTAACTTTGCAAATCCTAGTATTCGTATCAATGCTATGTCAGGTGCGAACATTTTGAATAAACATAATTCTCATAAAATGTGATGTAAGAATCCGATTGTCTGGTGTGAAGATGGAATATATCGGTCCACTCCTGGTACCTCCCCCACAAAGGGTCAAATTTTTGAATACCCATGAAGCTCATAAAACGCGAAATTAACATTCGATCTGTCGGCACAGTTATGTGGAGGCTATACTAGATATGTGGAGGCTCTATAGCCCATTTGCAATACCACAAGTCCTGCAGACTTAAAACATATCTGAGTAAAATTTTAATAAATCAGATTTCAACAGACGGACTGGCACAGCTAAATCAACATAGAATTGTATGCTGATCAATAATATGTATGCTTTGTGGAGTCTACAATGTATATTTCGAGATATTACAAACGAAATGACAAACTTAATATGCCCTCCATACTACGGTGGTGGGTATAAAAAACAAAAGTTGATTGGTAGCTGTGTCCTATCTTGATTTCTTTGTACCATGGTTGTAGTCATGACACAATTACAGAAGGTACAACAAAGCTCCTAAATACAATTTTTTTCTTTTTGGCGCCCCTATTCTATCAAAACATATACACAGTTTGCATATGTGTGGTATTGTTTTGAATAAAAAATAAAATAATTTGAAATTATTTCGAACTCAGTTTTAGGAGGTAGGAGGAGGTAGAACAGCTTCGTAAATCTACAGAAATACAGCCCTGAGGCTAGACCCGTTGTTTTCATTTTTTTTTTTTCATATTTTTCCTCATTTTTAAAATGAGTTAAATAGCGCGAAAAATGGATGAAATATCTGACTTTTTCCTCAAAAATATGATCCAAACTGTTTAATCTTTCAATTTCATGGCCAAACTGGTTAATGGCTTTAATGTGTGAGCCGCAATCTACGTGTCTTCCAATAACTGGTTTTGGAAATCTTCTGTTTTATTTTTCAAAACAATAAATACATGCACAAAATTATGGTAGAATAATACAGGTAACAGCAAGTGTTGTTGTACAACAATCGTAACAACAACCACATACAAATTAGTTTTTGTACGTAATACAAGTGTCAGAGTTATGTGCCAAAAATGTAAACAAAATAATTAATTTTCAATAAAAAATATACGTTGTTGGAATTTGGATTATTAAATTGAAAATGCAGAAGAATAGCTCTTAAAATATTTTATTTTAATGCTTTAATCTCTCAACAATTCAAGCAATCGCTAGAAAATCGTGGAAAAGGCAACATCCCTTTCAAGTTGAACCCATCAACCAAACAACATACATACATAAAGTATTCTACATTTTGCAATTTTAAGAAACATGAAATATACGAATATATTATCTAACATAGTGGCGCTGTTCCTTAACCGCAAAAAAGGTTTCCAAACCATCGACTTTGACGTTTTGTTAAGTAAAACGGCAATTTTTTGTATTGTTAGGAAAAAGTATGTTCGCATTGCCCTGCAGCGAAATTTTATATCAAAAAAGGTATACCTATTGTATATCAAGAAATGGAATTAAATCACAAAACGTCATATCGAGTTTGACACTAGTATTACTATAGAGTCAAATCAGCGGGGACTTGCTGTTACCTGTAATAATTATACCATGCCCTGAGGCTATGCCCGCTTCCTGTCAGAATTATTCAAAGTTATAGGCAACAGGTTGTTTTCATTTACTTGATACTTTTTGTCCATTTCTAAAATGAGTCAAATAGTGCGAAAAATGAATGAAATGCCTGGATGTTCTCTCAAAAATATGATCCTAAGTGTTCAATCTTTCAATTCCATGGCAAATCTCGTTAATATTATTAATGCGCGCCTAGCAATATAAATTTCTTCCAATCATTGTTTTTGTTTTTATTTTTCAAAACAACAAATACATACACAAAATTGGCAGAAGTCGGGCACACATAAAAAGAATTTTAATCAGCTGGTAGCTCTACCTTACCTTTTTATTGTACCATGGGAGAAATGAGAAATGCATGTTTTCGGCGTCAATAGGCAACAAATTGTATAATTTTGGGCAAAACTGCATTATCTTACTATCTTAGATTCAATTCTGTGAAATAGTCCCAACTCTTTTTCCAATGTAAAATAATCCAAACTAATTTTTACATATTTAAGTCTGCTTGACATTTAACCCCGGTACAGGGTAACATTTTTCATAGTTTATTGAAGCTGATCAACCTTTCTGATTGAGCCATGGTTACAGTTACTTTTGTTGTGCAACAGTACTTGCTGTTATCCTATTATATTGCCACGGGTATATCCATGGCAAAACAATAGAGGTATGCTCCTTTACAAAATCGAATATGATTGCTAAATACTCAACAAACTATATTTCGCACCAAACAAAAATTTATCTTTTTCGGCTTCCTCGGCACGTAAAATATATGTTTATTCCATATCTCAAAAAGATTTTTTAAACTTTTATTAATGTTAACACATAAACACGAAAAAAATATAAAGACTAAAACCCCAAAATAGACATCGAAATTTTTGTCAACATCTTCACAGTATCTTCTATATGGGTTCTGCAGTAAAACGAAAACTTACGCCTGTAATAGAAATCCTTGACCATGATTATAGCAAAATTTTTTTGGGAATTGTTTATTATTTTCAATACGGAAAATTTCATTTGAAATACTTAATCTGTAGTCCTTGATTCTATGTACCAAATGATTCCAATACAATTCTCTAATAGTATAAAAAAGACAGCGATCGGTTAACGCTGAGTACTTTTAGCGATCTGCTCTTTCAATACAAGAATGCTAGCCCTCTGTTCGGGAGGTAGTTGGGAAATTTGTTCATCTGTTAACTGTAAAACTTGCATTATTAGAGCGGCTTTTTCTTGGTCTGATGCGTCATTCGGCAGGCCACAATTTGTGGCCAATCGATTTTGTAATTGCTGCTGAGCAGTTTGCTGAGCACTCTGTGAAAGTCCAGAGGTTCCAGCAGACCTCAATCGTGGATCCATAGGCCTCTGCCGGGGATCGGATGGGAATGGGACTTGTGGAGTACTAATTGGTTGTTGCTGCATTTGTCTTTGGCTTCTATGGTCCATTTGAGGAGGGGGAACCGGATTTGGCATGTTTCGTAAATCTTGGTCAATAGTTCGAACCATGCGAGGATCAATTTGCGGTTGGGATCCCAAATTTACGCTAGCCATAGCCCTTAGATCTATGTCGTTTCCCTGCATGGAGTTAAAATTAGGTCCTGGTACTGGCAGGGATGTAGCACTAACTTGCGTTGGAGGAACTATTGACGACGGTTGCATCGCATTTACAGGTGGTACACCTCCAGCCGATGATTTAGCACCTAAAACGGGAGGCATTTGATTTGCTTTGAATAGCATACCCTGTAAAGAAAAAGTTTACTCATTATATGTATGTGAAGAATAATGATAACGCTCTTGTTTGCATACCAACGCTGTGGGCGGATCGACAATACGCATTACAACCATGGCCTGCAGTAAAGCATATGCCAGTTGGGGATTTAACATAAGCATCTGCCGAGCCTCTGATGGATTATTCTGTATACACAATTTCATTTGTTTCATTAACTCAAACATTTGTTCTGGTGGAAGCGACGCTACTGTTTTCGTTATAATTTCCGGCGCTTGGTCGGGGTCGCAGTGCTCTCCATATGGATTTTCCACTTGAGGTCCTTGCAACAATTGTTGCATTTCCATTCTTGACTTTTCTGTACAAGCATTATCAACTCGCAGAGTCCTTCCTCCAATTTCATACCCGTTTAGATTTCGCATGGCACTCAATGCGGTTTCCTGGTCTTTGTATTCACAAAAACCAAAGCCCTTGGGTTTACCACTTTCCCGATCAAAAACAAGCCTGAAATATAAAAAAAATATTTTAAAAGTGTACCGTTATACTATTTGCACAAGCTTCACCTACTTCAAAGAGACAACCGGTCCAACCTCGCTAAAGATCTCTTTCAACTTTTCTTCAGTCGCTTCGTAAGGAATGTTCCCAACTAAAAACAAAAGATCAAAATAAAACTTGTAATTTCGCTTAAAATAAGTCTACGAACCAAAAACTGAACGCATGGATTTATCCATAATACTCTGATCAGAGTTTTTATCTCCCATTGTACTTTTTTTCTACTAAACTGCTTGGAGGAATCAATCAAAACAAGGATAAATTAAACAATATGTTCTTTATAGGTATAGGCCCGAAATGTAATCGCGATGCGTTCCTTCCTCTTCTTATATGGCATGCAATATAAAGTAATAACACTACTTATACATGAGGTTGGTCCGTTTCAAGGCACGCGTATTATTATTATACAATTATTGAGGTTGCAGCAACATGGCTGGTCAAAACATTTTTGAAATTCAAAATTAAGAATGAATATACTCAAATAAGATGATACTGTTAAAAAAGATTGTTATATACCTCTGAATGATGTAGTTTAAGAAAACATTCAGAAATAAATGTTAAGATCCCTTACTACAAAATGTAAAGTCAAAATGCATTATTTAAATCACAGAACAAAAAATAAACATTACATTTGATTATTAAAATTTCCAGGAAGACTTTGTTATTGTGCCAGGGGGCGAGTTCAGGCTGTCAATATCGCGAGAAATCCACCAAAAAGAAAAAACACAGACAAAACAATAATGTGTTTTGACAGCAAAAGGAGAGAGCAGCTGGTCTATTGTGACCTAGAAACATATAGAAATATAGGAATGTGTACAAATAAAACAAGCCGGCGAACTTTTAAAACCCTCCAACAATTTTTTACAAAAGTATCTGAATTCACACGTCCTTCACCCTTAACTGTTAAACTTTAAAAAAACCATAAAGTGGGTGAGGCCGTTGTATGCATGGTAAAATTTAGAAGGTAAATTCGTTTCAAATAAGCATTCCCATCTCTGCGTTTTCTGTAACTTACTTTGTCAAATTTCACTGCATAAAAACAGGTTCCCATATCTGATTTGTGTGCATGCAATGGAGTTGTAAATATAAATTTTGACAATGAGCTGTTGTCAAATGTATAATTTTGAAAAAATTGCAAACATATGACTGCATGACGTTACCTTCTTAATTTTACCATGGATTCTGGATAAAAGCGACATCTTTCGCTGACAATTTTCTGTACTGAAACTGAAGCCAAATTCGGGCAGTCTTCTACCAGTGTTATAGCATACTTGTTTAAAATAAAATTAAACCATTCATAAACTTATCAGTCTTGGCTTATGAGGCTTGGCTCATAGCTAGGTGTTCAAAAGAACATATTTTACATATACATATTTACTTTTGTTATTATTTTATAATAACAAATAAATATTCTTGGAAGATTACATGAAATTGTAACCATACCAAGGTTGCCCAATTCAAGTTTTCTGTATATCTTCTTTTATTTATATTTATAAACACTAGTCATATTCAAACACGGCTCTGGCATCGTGTTATGATATGTCACAAAATATATCATGCGAAGACTTCAAGCTCCTTATATACCCACACCTTTAGTCTCTGTTTTAGAATATATTCTTCCTTGACTTTTATACCCTCTAAAATGCGTAAGAATTATAAAATATTTGGTCGAAAAGAAATCTAAATTTTTAAATTAAATTGAGACATAGTAATAAGTTGCTGGTTCTGGACAGACCGGACAATTTTCCTACTTCTTTAATTCAGTACATTACATCATTAATGCTATTCTGAAAGCGAACAACGATGATCAAATACACATGAGAACACATGGTACAATGAAATTAAGGTAACCTCATTTCAAATTAAAACTCGCAGCTCTGCATTTTCTGTAATTTACCATGTCAAATTTCAATGCATAAAAGACAGCTCCCATCTCTGAGTTTGTGTGTATACAATGGATTTATCATGGTAGAAAAATACAGGTAGATACATCAACGCTTGGGAACATTGATATGTCAAAATATTTTAAATGTCTTTTCGAATATAAGTAGATTTTATATGCTTTCTCATACGACGTCATTCGGAGGCTCTTATAATTCGCGATTTTCAACAATTTTTACAAAAATTGAAATAATTTTTCATTCAACATTTTCAATTCCAAAATTGGTTTGACAGTTCATTGTCCCAGCAGCTGTGTCGATGCGTCTACCTATATTCTTCTACCATGGGATTTATGAATACAGATTTTGACAATGAGATGTTGTCAAATGTAAACTTACAATCATATGTATGACTTTACCTTCTTAGTTCTACAATGTTGTAAACATATGATTAGTTCTGCCATGATGAGAACATTGCGTAATATTTGTTCGACTGTATTTATCTATTTATCGATACTTGCTCAGAAAAGATAGTCCCATCGATTGTTGTCCAACACTAAGTCAAGTCAAATGTATTAGGTAGCCGCATCATCGCAGCTGACCGTACCATGATATATCAAAAAAATTAAATTATGAATGTCAAATTATGTCTTTATTTAATTTTGTAAAAAATATATTTATATTGTTTATATACATATTTATTTATGTAAATTTTTATAATTTGTTTATTTATACCTGCAAGATAGGATGAGTAATTTTGACGTTCTTAGAACCAATACAATTTGTTTTTTGTTGTATCATCTTGCTTACGCGAGTACCTAACAAATCTGCCTTGCTTTAAATTTTATTATTTACATTTTTAAAAGAGGATTAGGCTATTATGAATTTAATTCGTAATCAAATTCAGCAAGCTGGTCGCACCCATAGTGCATCTGTGATATTCTTGCACGGTTCTGGTAACATTGATTTAGAATATGCCATTCATTTTTATCAAAGCGACAATTTCATTGTAGGTGACAATGGAGCAAACCTTATTGAGTGGATCCGTCTACTACTAGGACGTAATCTAGAGTTTGATCACATAAAAATTATATATCCAACAGCACCTCTACAGCCGTATACTCCGAATGGACGTCAGCTATCAAATGTGTGGTTCGATCGTGACTCTATATCAATAAGTGCACCAGAAAACCGAAGTAGTATGGAAGGAATTTACGGTGCTATTCATTAGATAATACAAAATGAAGTTGCAAGTGGGATTCCTTTGAAACGCATCATTGTTGGTGGATTTTCCATGGGTGGAGCGTTAGCCTTACATACGGGTTTTCATTTAAACACAGGTCTAGCTGGAATATTTGCCTGTTCGTCGTTTTTGAACCACGACTCTGTTGTATACGATTCTCTTTTGAAACATGCAACAAAAACAACTGATTTGCCACATTTACTAATGTTTCATGGTGATCGAGATCCTTTAGTTCCGATAGAATGGGGTCAGGCAAGTTTCAATAAATTGACTAAATTAGGAGTGAAGGGAACATTTACTACCTTGGCCAACACATATCACGAATTGAAACGAAGCGAATTACTTCAGCTACATAAATGGATATTAACAAACTTGCCACCAGACGAAAACATTACCAATGACTCTTAAGCTACATAACCTACCAAAAGATAAAATAAAGTCACTTTGTAATAAAAACTTGAAACTTCACTAACCTACCTTCAGCCACCTAAAGATTCTCTCTTTTGAGGCATGTCTATCACCGATAGTGCGAACTAGAGTTTTTGTACCCTGCATCATACTACGCAGAATATCCTCGAAATACTAACCTCAGACCCTACAAAATATATGTAAAAGCTTGCTAACATAATATTCTAAATTGATTTGGCTGTCTACTTCAATCATGAGATCTTTCGAACAAATTGAAATAGAAGACTAAAATTTTGCACATATGTGTAAATTCTCAGTATGAAGGTCAAGTTATACGGTATTTTCATTATTAAAGCCACATTTTTCCACAGAATGGTTTCAAATTTGGAATTTAAAACTCGCAATAGATAACCACCACTATAGCAGATGGTCTGTGTAGGCTCACGTTTTGGTATAGCTCCCATTTAACCGTATCGCCCACTATATGCCCACGGCAATGTCGCCAAATTCATCTGAGTCGGTATGGGACATCTTCTAGGATATTTCTGATGCTTGTCTTAAACACATTGCCTAAAGACTACAGATCGATTAAAGACTTTAGAATCACTACTGGGCCTAGCATTTCTCTTAACTTTAAAAACACATTCAACAAGTATGTCGTAGCACGCTTATTACAAGGTCAATCAGTACAGACCGCCTTGCATAAAGTTTTCGGATACATTGAGAAAAATATGGAAAACTCCAAATTTACAATTGCAACTTTCCTCGATGGGGGTGCTTTCAAAAATGTGAACCTATGGTATTTTCACTATCCTGATTTAATGGATAATCAATTGAGGTTGGAAGATTCTATTATTTCCAACAAAACGTCATATACCATAGGAATTGCTAAACAATTAAGGTTTCAAAGAAAACGTTTTTGAAAATAACATGTAGTGATTTTTTTTTTAATATGCCTGTTGTATAAGTGTACTGTATTAAAATTGGTTTACTTAAAAATGGAAAACATTTTGTTATACTTTAAACAATCCTTGACAGTGCTTTGGCCCGTCGATCTGTGTTTTGAAAAAGGGCGCGAATTAGATGTCGCAATTCTTCAGCTTTATAATTTGCTGTTAAAATTCCGGCGCCATCACACCACTGGTCCACAATTTCTTGTAAAGATGCATTGAGAATCATTTGCAATTGCTGTAATTTCATCCAAGATGAAACTTGAAAAGCTTCGTGTTTTTCCTGAAAATAAAAAAAGAGTTGCGTGTTACACATACAAGTAATAACTGCTAATAATTAATTCATAATGATGATGGTCGTCAGAGATGTGAAAGTAAGGATTAAGAACATGAAAAAATGGAAAATATAGCTTTTTCGCTATTTTTAGAATTGAAATATTTGAATTCCGAAAACAAGTTTGATTTGAACCTTTTTCGAAATACCTCAATTTACAATAAAACACACCGGTCATTTCTTGAAAATGCTTGCATGGCGCAATTTTTCATCCAAAAATTGATTTTTGAAATGCTTCAAAGTGCTTTAAATAGAACACATATTTCGGGCATTGGTAAGTGACATAATCATATAAAATACCTTGAATAAGTCCGGCACTCTTTCCAAAATTACACTGATGAGTTCACTCAGTTCACTCGCCACTGCAGCAGATATGTCTTCGAGGGATATAATTCTGCGAATTATATCTTGAAAGAAATCGTTGAGAATAAACGAAAATGTTTTATTGTATATTGTTTCAGGTAGAACATACAACCAAACATTTTTCAATAGTTCCATTTGTCGCAAGCATTGCCGGACCAATTTTAAAGGCGCTGATCCAATCGAGTGCGTGTCGGAGATGTCTGAAATTAAAAGTTGATGTAAAAAACGAATCCCAATTTCTAACTCTAGTTACCTAGATTTTTCATAATTTCCTGAATGATTTTCTGCTGTTTTGCCTCCTGAACTTTAAATAAACGCAGGCCGGTTGACTGTAGCGTTTTCACCAATGCAGGATGCGTTGGAATACCCACGTCCGAGTATTTCGCAACCCAGTTTGCTAGGTACATACAGTTATTGTAGAATAGAACTGATTGTTGCGGTATACTTTCTAATAACTTATCGTGAATTTTAGGCACATCAGAACAGTAGGTAGTAACAATGGTCGATATTATGGGCAGAAATATATTCGATGCATTAATGTCATTTACATCAGTTTCATGATGGGAATTAGGAGGCTGGCGTAATATTCGCTCCATTAACTTTGTCAATTCCTTCATTGATATAAAAAAATAAGTAAACAAATTATTTTACTCTGTACCCTGTTCGTAATAACTTACCAAAGTACTTTTAGATATCATGCATTGGGGAAATAAAAACTTATTATCTTCAACTTCTTTCGCGTTAATTCCTTCACAAACGATTACCATATCCTGCAAATCTTTTTGCATAATGGTTCGGGCACTTTCTAAAATTTTTACAGAGAACCTCTCTTCAAATAGATAGTTGAATTTTTCACCAAAATCTTTTAGTTCTCTATCTTTGTCAGCATCCAAAAAACATATGTCAGTTAACATTTGTTCAAACTTTTGAAGATCATCGAGAAGTGTGGACTCTTGATATTCATCCATCGTGTCAGGAATAGAATACATCAAACACTCTTCGACCAACAGTTTTATGAATTTCTCCTTAATATGATTTCCAATAACTCCAAACACATATTTATTCGTCGAAATCTCGATATTTATATTGGCCAAACATTCAAAAAGTATTTTGACATACATAAATACTTGCTTATATGATGGTCGCAGGGTCTTATTGCCTGCCTTAACTGAGTACGATATATTTATTTGAAAGTAATCATCCTTTTCGGTGCAATATTCGACGGAAACTGGCTTCGTTATTATTGGTTCTAAACAGTTTTCTAAAAGAAAGTCACACAATTTCATGGGATTGTAACGCGCCTACAATAAAAAGAAAATGTTAATAGGGTACATCGGAATAAATTATAAAATCGCACCTCGAACAGAGCTAAAACAGTGTCTTGCAACTGCGTTACATCTTTGGAAACTTGCAGATTTACACTTTTTGCAGAAGGAAATACTTTTTCTGAAAATTGCACCAAACTTTCAAATCGTTGCTGTAGGTTCTGCTGTAGTATGTTTGCCTGGATATGATACCGCACTTTAATCGTGTCATAACATTCACATTTCTGGAACAATAAATCTACATCTGATGAGTTTTCGCTGCAAACTAAGCTCTTAAGTTTTCCCAATAAATCCAAAGCCGTTAAATAATCCTTCGTAGCGTTTGACTCTTCCAAGCATTGGAAAAGGTCGTCTATTTTTAGAATACGTTGTGATAATTTAAGTCCCATTGCAACTTCTCGTAATTCTTCTAAGCATTGGGTCAGTTCTATATTGGCACTATTTAGTGCCATACGGGCGTCACTTCCCACATTTTTTAGTAAATGCTCTGTTTCCCGCAGCAAGGATTCGCCTTCGTCTATGTACACGTCAGAAGCGGTGTAATTTGGTACAAAGTTAACGTAGTTGTCCTCAATGTGTTTTCTTATGCGGTTTTGAAACCGCCGTATCTGTTCCAGAATTCGCACAATGCTATTTTTAGTACTTTCTGTCGTTGAAAATCCGTGTAAATCATCTTTACCGAGCTCCCCAATGGTAACCATTTTGAGACTTAGTTTTATTATTAATATACAAGAGAGTTGGTTGCGTCGACGATTTAAAAAAAATTGATAGTTTTTTGGGTTGTAACTTGGCAATGTTTTTTTATTTTTCTCTCTTCAGTAACTTCTCTCTTGGAAGTTAAGGTGATTTTTTCAAAGAAACTAACTGTGAAAACTCAATTCAATTTGTTCAATTTGTTAGAGCCTTGGTTGTATTGTATAAGGGATAAGTAAGTCGAATTTCGTCTCAACGATTAATTTCTTCTGATCAGTGTTGCCACCGTATCTGTAAGAACACATATTGTGTGTAATTTTTTGTTGCATGTGTGGCCTGTTTTTAAAAAAAGTTTTACTATTTTTAACACTTTTTGTAATACTTCCCTTCTCAAATGCTACTTGAGAAAGAATAATTAGCTGATGATTTTCGGGAAAGGCAGGAAATGAGCATGATTTTCATTTACTGGAGAATGTTCGACACTTAAAATGCTTGCTTTTCACCAAAATCGTCCAATCAAAAAAGCCAATTCTATTCGTCGTGCTTAATCCATTGTATTTGTAGCGATCTGTCAGTTTCTTATTGAAAAACACTAATCTCTGTAGTAGGGGGTAATATGAAGATAGTAAGTCGATAGGGGAACGCCTAAAAATACAACACAAAACAAATACAACACTATGTGTTAGGGGTATTATAAGTTTGATTGGCCAACAATTATGTAACACCTCGAAATATTGGAAAGCATATATGGATCTTCCTTTCTCGCCGAGCTGAGTCGATCTAGCTTTGTATGTTCGTCCTTCCGTCTGTCCATGTTGAATTGTAATCACTCTACAGGTCGCAATTATGGACCGATCCTCACAATTTTGGAGAAGAATGGAGGTGGAGTTAAGATCAGAGTAAAACCCTATTGTTTTTGGAGATAAAGACCTAAGTCTTTGTTTTAGAAATATTTAGTTTTAGTTAGGTTGAAATGGACCAAAAACAGAATATGTTCCTGATTTTGCAGCTGCTCTATAGGTTGCAGTTATAGACCAAGACGCGAAATTTAGCATGGTGCTAGAGTGTAGGGCTGGTCAGAAGCCTAATATTTTGTTTGGTCATTGGACAATATTTAGCGGGTAAAATAGACCATAACTTTTATGTAAAAAAATACGAAAATTTCCACTAAACCGAGAATTTTTTTAATACCAGTGAAATCACAAATATACTAAAATGTTATTTCTGACAGTTACAGTGCTACGGGAACATCGCAAATTAAGTAGAATCTGTATGTACAAGAAATTGATGGTAGAAATTTCGCTTATAAGTCACAAACCGCTGGACTGATTTTGACAATTCCCACCAATCTGGAATGGCCTCTTGCCAGAAAAGAATAAAATATAAGAAAATCGCGCAAAAATATACCAATAAAAAAGTGAATATTTTTTTGTCAAAAATTTTATCGCATGCGATTTTTATACCCTACAACACTATGTATTGGGTGTATTATAAGTTTGACTGAGCCAAAAATTATGTAACAGCTCGAAATATTGGTTTCCCACATAGGAAATTATATATGGACTTTCCTATTTCGCCGAGCTGATTCGATCTAGCTATGTATGTCCGTCCGTCTGTCCATGTTAAGTTGTACTCACGCTACAGATTGCAATTATGGCCCGATCCTCACGAAATTGAAAATGGAAGTGGGGTTATGGTCAGAATAGAAGCTTATTTCTTTTGGAGATGATCGCATAATATTTAGGGGTTGAAATATCGACGCCGAAGTTAGCATGGGACTAGAGCTTAGGGCTGGCACACTCCTTTCCAACAATGTTAAATAAAATTCAAATTTTCCATTAAACCGCGATTATTTTTAATCCCGACGAAATCACAAATAGACGAAAAGGTCAATTCTGACTGTTACGTAGATGTCGATAGTAAATATATCGGATATATATAGCGAAATGTATACAATGTGTATGTATTGTAATATTTTTTTAAAACACAGGTTGGGGTTATTATATACAGACTGCAATTATCATCCGATCATCACGAAAATTTTCATAAGGGTAGGGTTAGGCTCAGAAGGGCTAGGCCTATTGTTTTTAAAGATGTCTGCAATATAAATTTAGGGGTTGAAATGGACCAACAACTGATTTTGCATCCGTTATAAAGGTCACAAATAGACCCCAAAGGGCACGAAATCTCTCATGAAGTTAGAGTTTAGGAAGGCGAGAAGAATGGACTACTACTTTTCTGCGAAAAAATACCAACATTTCCATTCTACCGAAAAGCAAGAAATAACTTAAAAAAATGCTCAAATGGCGAACTTCTGTCTTTTTTATGTTGATTTTGCAAGTCATGTAGATGAGTCTAATTTTGGAGATACTTCTTGGTTCAAATTAACCAAAAACACAAAAATTTTCCTGATCACACAATTGAAAGCTAAGGGTAATATGTGGGCTGTGCTCTATGACATAATTCCAAAGGGAAATCTTCCAAAATGGATTTGGACATAAGGGGATTTCTACCATATTGTAGTGTTGTAGCGTTACACATAGTCGGCACCGCACGGCTATAGCCTTTGCTTACTTGTTTTTAGTTATAGATTATTATATTAATTTGATATAAAATCAATTTCTTTTTGTTTATGGGCCGCTATAACAGCCGATGGTCGCTCTTGATCGTGGCATCAGAATAAATGGCGAATATTATCGTGAAAATATTCTGGAGGGTGTATTAAAGCCTAGGGCACGCAAACATTTTGGCCGCAGACCTTGGACATTCCAACAGGACTCATCACCATCGCACTCAGCACGCACCACCCAAGAATGGTTACAAATGAGGTTCCTCGCTTCATTTCCAGCGTACAATGACCACCAAAATCTCCGGATACCAATCCGTTGGACTATTGTGTCTGGAGTATTTTGGAAAGCAAGGTGTGCACTATAAAATACCAAAGTGTCGATCACCTCAAGCAAGCGCTTGGCCGGGAATGGGCCAAAATACCGCAGAGCAAAATTCGGGCAGCGTATGACGGTTTCATTGGCCGTTGAAGGCCATAATTCGTGTCAAAGGTGATCAATTCGAACAAATCTAAACTTATTCTAAAATTTGATCCTATTTCCGACATTCTTTGCTTTCATTTAATATAATAATTGTACAAATCTTTCTTCAAATCTTCTTTGCAATATATATGCTGGCTCCATGGATAGCTCCATAAATTCTCTATGGGGTTTATGTCTGGACTCTGGGCTGGTGTATCCATGACATGGGGACAATTATATAGAATCCATGATCGCAATTTATAACCCTTGTTTTTAGGATCATTGTCTTGATAAAAATAATAATCTTCGCCTAAGCCGATCTTTCCCTTACAGAGTGGCAAGCTTTCTTTCAAAATGTTAAGGTACATAGTCTGATCCATAATACCCTCTATAAAATACAATACCCCAGGTCCAGAGGGTGGAAATTAACACCACACCATTACTGGCCTACCACCGTGCTTCATTGTAGGCTTTACATTTTTTGGTAAATAGCGCTTCATTTGCCTTACTCCGTACATAAGGTCTGCCATCTGAACCAAAAAGGTTGAACTTGCTCTCTTCCGTGAACAGCACATTCTTCCATAATGAAAAATCGTTTGATATGTGCTCCTTGGCAAATTGCAATCTTACTTCTTGATTTCGCTTACTGATTAGCGGTTTAGGTCTAGTTCTTCTTCAATTGCAATTCGACTTATGCAGTGTATTTCTTATTGTTTGTGGGTAACATACTTTTCCAAAATCCTATTTCAGCAATTTTTGCGAGCTTCGGTGCACTCAAAAATGTATCCTTTTGGATCTGTCGTAAAATATAGTTCTCATCACTCAAGGTAAATACATACATGGTACAATAAAAAGGTAGGGTAGAGTTACCAGATGATTATATTTTTTTTGTAAGTGCGCCCGACTTCTGCCAATTTTGTGTATGTATTTATTGTTTTGAAAAATGATAACAAAATATTTTCAAAACCAATGATTGGAAGACACGTACATTGCGACTCGCGCGATGAAGCTATTAACCAGTTTAGTCATGCCATTGAAAGATTGAACAGTTTGTATTACACCTAAGTCTGTTTTTACACGGTCTTTTTGTACTCGGTTTTGATATAACACGGTTTGAAAATTGAATATTTTTAATTTTTTTACACGATTTTATTCCATTTAGCACGATTTGAAATGTTATGTACTTAAATTTTTAAATTTAAATTTAATTTTAACGCATTAAGATAAAAGGTAAGCCAAAAAATATTTTGTATTTATTCAGTTATTTATGTTTTTTAATTTTGTTAAATATTTTATGTATCCCTAAAAGGAAATGCCAGATAAAAAACTAAAAGAGAAGGCAATTTCTTTGGAAACCAAGATTAAAATTTTAGATCGCCTTCGAAATGGAGAAGGCTCAACTGCTCTTGGTAAAACGTTCGCTTTAAATGAAATGAAATTTAAATGAAATTTTATTATTTGCCGTTTCTGACTTATTTTTTATTTTTATTTTGAAAAGTTTTATGATGATGAGCGTGAAGATAAAAATGAATTTAACTAGCGAAGACTCAAACCGCACAAATCCTGGATAACTATGTACTGATAATTTTAATCAATTTTTAATACATTAAATAATTATTTCTTTTAAGTTAATGTTCTTGAAGAGCCAGAAATGTCCACTCCATGGATCCCATATAACTTCAACCAGGTACGCAAACTAGAGTTTTTTTTTTTTAATTTAACAGTTGTTGTAAATAGACGGCCTTCGGCCGGGTCTTTAGATTTCCTCCTCTGGGTATGTCTCACACAGGATAACGCGAACCAAAGTTTTCTAAATTTGACACTTTTTGTAAATAGCCGGCATTCGGCCGGGGCTTGAGATTTTATCCTCAGGGTATGTCCCACACCGATTAACGGGAACCCAAGTTTTTTAAATTTTATACTTTTTTAATTCCAATGTTTATTGAAAACATAATTTTAATGAACTGTTTAGAATCAAGTTATGCGCGTGGAAAGACCCATATCTCTGGACCCAGAAAAGGTATTGGCACAAATTGTAGCATTTTGGAAAGGTAACATTGTCAGCAATAATTTGGCTTGGCCCCCTAAATGGCCCTTTTTCGTCTTTTTTGGGGTTTTATAAAAAAATCCGGGTCCAACTTTCGATGCTTCTGAAAGTACTCCTCGCCAGCTTTCCAATGATACCTTTCATATGGAACTATCCCTCCTTGATTTTACACAATGGTCTGTTCTTATCAAAGTTAGGATAAAATTAAAATTCACTTTTTTCAAAATTTTCGAAATGAACAGCTTCGTCAAACTACAGAAATTCAGCCCTGAGGCCATGGTAGAAAAATACAGGTAAAAGCAAGTGTTGTTGTACAACAATCGTAACAACAACCACATACAAATTTATTTTTGTAAGTAATAGAAGTGTCAGAGTTATGTGTCCAAAAATGTATACAAAATAATTAATTTTCGATAAATTATTTTAATTTCAAAAATATACATTTTTGGAATTTGGATTATTAAATTGAAAATGCAGAAGAATACTTCTTAAAATATTTAATTTTATTTTTATTTAATATCATTCCCCTGAATGTATAGTTGTTAGCTGTTGGCCCTAATCTCTCAACACTTCAAGCAATCACTAGAAAATCGTGGAAAAGGTAACATCCCTTTTAAGTTGAAACCAAACAGCATACATATATAAAGTATTGTACATTTTGCAATTCTAGGAAACATGAAATATACGAATATATTATCTAACGTGGTGTCGATGTTCCTTAACCACAAAAAAGTTTCCGATTTTTTCTATTATTAGGCAAAAAATAGTGAAATTTTATGTCAAAAATGGGTATACCTATTGTATATCAAGAAATGGAATTAAATCACAAAACGTCATATCGGGTTTGACACTAGTATTACTATAGAGTCAAAACAGCTGGGACTTGCTGTTACCTGTAATAATTATACCATGCCCTGAGGCTATGCCCGCTTCCTGTCAGAATTATTCAGAATTATAAAGTTATAGGCAAAAAGTTGTTTTCATTTACTTGATACTTTTTGTCCATTTCTAAAATGAGTTAAATAGTGCAAAAAATGAAAGAAATGCCTGGATGTTCTATCAAAAATATGATCTTTCAATTCCATGGCAAATCAATATTAATATTAATAATGCGCGCCTCGCAATATAAGTTTCTTCCACTCATTGATTTTGGAAATATTTTGTTTTTATTTTTCAAAACAACAAATACATACACAAAATTGGCAGAAGTCGGGTACACTTAGAAAAAAATTGTTATCAGCTGGGAGCTCTACATTACCTTTTTATTGTACCATGGTAAGAGCTGCATATAGTTCCGAATGTTTCTTTGGCGGAGTATTTCCTGTGAACTAGTTCGTTTGTCGTTAATTCTAATATGAATTAAACAATTCCACTGCAGATTCTAGAGCAGAGAGAACGTTTGCACTACCTTATGCTATTCCCATATTTTCAGCTTTATGGAAAAACTTATGGCGTTATACAAACGACATATATGTATACTTGAATGTTAATAGTTAAACAGCTGAAAGGATTTCGCCGCACTTCCTTTCAAAGAATTTTCTCATGGTAGACCAAAGAAGGTAATGCCATGCAATCATATGTATGCAATTTGACAACATCTCATTATCAAATATATAATATATATGTATATATATATATATATATATATATATATATATATATATATATATATATATATATATATATATATATATATATATATATATATATATATATATATATATATATATATATATATATATATATATATATATATATTAACTCTAGTTTAGTAAAAACTCTTCAATTTTTACGAAATTTTTTCCAATGGTATTTTTCCCTGATCCCGGGAAACTATTTTTTCTTGGGGGCGGACCTGGGACCTCAGATTTTTGACCCGAAAGTCCGGGTTCAACACCCCGACTAGACCCGGATCCAATTATCTGATATAGGCATATAGATATCGTTGGAAAGCTTATGAAAATACCTATCCAACAAGTGGTCACATGATGGGACAACAAAATTGATGCCAAATTATAGCTGACACTCTTACCTTTCCAAAATGCTACAATGTGTGCTAATACCTTTTTCGGGTCCAGAGATATGGGTTTTTCCATCTGCATAACCCGATTCTAACCAGTTCATTAAAATGATGTTTTCAATAAAAAAGGGTTTATTTCGCGTAGCAGTCGTCGGAATAACAAAAGTTTTGGCCGGGGCTTGAGATTTTCTCCTCTGGGTACGTCCGACACCGGCTAACGCGAACAAAAGGTTTCTAAATTCGACACTTTTTGTAAATATGCTACAATTTGTGCTAATACATACCCAGAGGAGAAAATTTCCATAAGCTTTCAATCGATCCATATTGTAAGTCCCACCATAAGTTGAACCGGAATTTGAAATCGAGTATGAATAGTCGAGTACTCGGTTTCACCCAAGTCCATAGTCGCGTTCGAGTTTCAAAACTTTGAGTACTAAAGGTCCATTATTCGATTAATCAGAAGTCGACTTACCTATCCCTAGCATAGCAAACATAAACAAACAATCATAGCACAGCAAGCAGTTTAAAAACAAATTGTAATAAATTCATTTTGATGCTATAGCTGGCATTTGGTTATGGAATACAATTTTATTGATGATTACGAACATATCAATTCCGAAGTGGAGTACATATTGGAAAATGTGTTGAGCGAGGATACGTTACAAAGCTCAAGTCCAGAATCGAAGCAATTAGTGGATTTGTTTAATACACTTTTATTAAACAAATGCTCATGCAAAGAATGTAATAATTATTTGTGCACTCATGGATGTTCCTATGAGCCCGATTTGGAATCTAAGGAGCTCATGATTTCAAGGGATAATTTTAGTGATTTATTGTACGAGTGCACGTCCCTTTGTTCCTGCAAAACAAAAACCTGTTGCAATAGATTGGTGCAATATGGGCCCAGAAAAGATTTAAAAATAATATTTTCTAAGAAATATCAATCTTATGGAATCATTACTACCAGAGATATCCCAAGGGGGGCCTTCATTTGTGAATACGCCGGTGAGCTTCTTACAAGGGAAGAGGCAATGAAACGTATACACCTAAGTCTGTTTTTACACGGTCTTTTTGTACACGGTTTTGATATAACACGGTTTGAAAATTGAATATTTTTAATTTAGTTACACGATTTTATTCAATTTAGCACGATTTGAAATTGTATGTACTTAAATTTTTTGTCAAATTTAATTTTTGCGAAGTATGTTCATATCACAAAAAAGTATTTATGAAAGAAAAAAGTCTGAAACCATCGATAGTTTGCGAACACTAGCTTAAAGATTTAAGTGAATTCCCCTTTAGCGCGTACAAACAATTTTTACTGGTCAAAGCAAATGTGAATAGCACTATGTGCATACAATAAAATTTACTGGTCAGAGCAATTGAAACGTGTTAATATTTTGTGAACTGTTAATGCAATAAGACGTGTTTGGTAAAGAAAAAAATAAAAATTCTTGTTTTTCACTAATTTTAATAGGTTTTAGAGATTAGGAACAAATCACCCATTTTTGTATAAGATCAATGTCTTTTTTACACGGTTTTTTACACGGCTTCTTCTGGAACCAATCTACCGTGTAGGTGTATATGAAAACAAAAAACAAGGTCGAATGAATTATGTGCTCTGCTTAAAGGAGAGTCTTAATGGTCCCCATCTTGATGTAACAAACAACGGGGGATTTACAATAATTGTGGACCCGGCCAAAAGAGGAAATATTGGGCGATATTTAAATCATAGCTGCAATCCGAATTGTCAGATATTTAGTGTACGAGTAGATTCGCCAATACCAAAAATAGGTAATTACCTGTCAACCTACCTGTCAACATAACTTTTGACCAAGCACTTTGAACAGGTCAGGAACAAATCTAGCTTAATAAAAACTCTCGGATGTTTTTTAATTTCTTTTTTGGGGAGGTAGGTATTTGTACCCGGATGACGGATATCAAAAAAAAAAATCGATAAAGTTTTCATTGTTACAAATGTTAGAATATGTCTTTATCTTCTTCGGATACAGAGATAATAGTATAACAATTAAATTCATTAACAACTTTTAAAACTTTTTATGTAGGTTACCTTTGGTCGTGGCTTACGATTTCCCCTTTGTGTATGTCCAAAACCGGATACGGGAACCAAAGTTTTTCTAAATTTGATACTGTTTTAAGTAAAATTGTTACTTTTTTAAGGAGCGGGCGTTGACTGGGACTTTTCGGTCCCATTTGGACTTTTGGGGGTTTTTATTTAAAATCCGGGTCCAAAAAATTGCTAATTTTGATATAACTTCGGGATCATTTTTAAATAATTTGACCACTTTTTGGAAAGGTCTACATCGGTTTAATAGATCCGCTTCTGATCCAGTATGCGACTACTGGGTTAAATATGTCCCTAAGGAAAAATATTTTTCTGTAATCAGGGTACAAATATGGTACAATGAAATCAAGGTTAGCCGCAGCTACCAATCTATTTCAAATTTTTTATTTGCTAGATTTAACATCTCTAATGTTGCTGTGTATTCTTTTCAATTATATGAAAATTTTTTAGGAAATATCCAAATTCAGGTGTAACCACAATGCTTATACAACGTATGTATTATATTAAGATGTATTTAGAACATATCTCGCCTCACATCAAAACATATATGTCGGTAACATATATTATTAAAGTCGGAAAATCGTTTACAAACAAGGGAAAAAGTACAGGCACAAGATGAATTTCTGGCAGAATATCCTCAAATAGTACTAAATGTGTCCTGCCTATTAATTAGGAAGCAATCAGCAATAATAATGTATTCAAGTTGGTGAGTGACAGGATCAAACGATTTACTGAGATCTGTATAGATTGTATTAGTTTGCTTACAATTGATAAAGCCCTTCACAATTTTGGATATGAACTGAATAAGATTTGTGATAGTGTAAAATCTCGTCCGAAAATCATGTTAGTACGGACATCAAAAAGGAATGGACTTCATATAAAATTATATCAGTTTTAAATTTTTCACATAGCTTTGGAATTGCACTTAATTTTTCAATATCGATATAATTGGATAAATCAGGTAAAATACCTGATTTATGAATTGGAATTAAAAAAAAGACAGAAAGAAAGGGTACTTAAAAAAAATATTAATATGCTTCGTACACCATCAAGGCCTGCACGTTTAATTGGTTATAAACAGCGCAAACCATTTAATATATTAGTACCAAGAAAATATGGAATATTTACTTGATGAAGTTTGCAGCAAAATTTGTAGTCAGATGGGCCTTCTAACTCATTCTTACTGTCAGAATGCTTGAAACTGAATTCCTAAGTCGACTGCTAGATAAAAGGTAATAGGACGACATGCATTTGAATGAAATTCCTAGAGAGTAATGAGAGAGTTTTGATCATTCAATTTCTTCTTATAATGCCCGTTACTCCCATCAGTAAATGAGGTGAACTTCTATCAGCACGAAAGCCGCACTAGAAACCACTTAATAAATTATTTGCGTTTATATAATTCAATAATAGGCGTTTCAGAAAAAATACAGCTTGGGTTTTCATGTATTAGCATCTAACATCATGTAGATGTTCATACACTGAATTAAATTAGGAAAAAGAACTACTATGGAAAAATAATTTTTTTTAATTGTTATTTATCTTCGATAGCAACATTTTGGGATATTTTCCGGATGAACACAATGGAGCAGCAGGTCTTCCAGTGAATTAGTTGTTACAAAGCAACAGCGCATTCTTTAACTTTAGTTGTATTTCAAATTCTAATTTAAGGAATATTTTCCATATGCAGTGACGACAATCCAAATTCATATGTATTCAATTCTTTCAATTTTTTTTTTACATTTTTACAGGAATTTTTGCCAAACGTTTCATTAAATCAGGGGAAGAACTGTGTTTTCACTATAATGAAGGGAGGAAGTGCTCACCACAATCAAGTTTTGAAGATCGTATACTATGTCTATGTAAATCTGAAGTATGCGAAAGCTTTTTACCCAACGCGGACATATAAACACAGATCTGAAACATGAACGGTTTAGTATGTTAGCAACAACGTATATACCCTAGCTGTTATGCCTTTTAGTTTGAGTATTTAACATTTGAATGAAAATAAAAAAATTGAATGAAATTGAATTTTATAGCATTTTTTTGCATGACAAATATATATATATATATATATATATATATATATATATATATATATATATATATATATATATATAATTTTACCATGCTGTAAGTCCCACCCATGGTAGAAAAATTTTGGAATTGAAAATGTTGAATGGAAAATTATTTAAATTTGTAAAAATTGTTGAAAAACGCGAATTATAATAGCCTCCGAATGACGTAGTATAAGAAACCATATAAAAAATCCACTTATATTCGAAAAAACATTTAAATTTTTTTGACATGTCAATGCTCCCAAGCGTTGATGCATCTACCTGTATTCTTCTGCCATGGTCCCACCATAAGTTGAACCGGAATTTGAAATCGAGTATGAATAGTCGAGTACTCGGTTTCACCCAAGTCCATAGTCGTGTTCGAGTTTCAAACCTTTGAGTACTAAAGGTCCATTATTCGATTAATCAGAAGTCGACTTACCTATCCCTAGCATAGCAAACATAAACAAACAATTACAGCACAGCAAGCAGTTTAAAAACAAATTGTACAATTGTACAACAATCATAGCACAGCAAGCAGTTTAAAAACAAATTGTAACAAATTCATTTTGATGCTATAGCTGGCATTTGGTTATGGAAAACAATTTTATTGATGATTACGAACATATCAATTCCGAAGTGGAGTACATATTGGAAAATGTGTTGAGCGAGGATACGTTACAAAGCTCAAGTCCAGAATCGAAGCAATTAGTGGATTTGTTTAATACACTTTTATTAAACAAATGCTCATGCAAAGAATGTAATAATTATTTGTGCACTCATGGATGTTCCTATGAGCCCGATTTGGAATCTAAGGAGCTCGTGATTTCAAGGGATAATTTTAGTGATTTATTGTACGAGTGCACTCCCCTTTGTTCCTGCAAAACAAAAACCTGTTGCAATAGATTGGTGCAATATGGGCCCAGAAAAGATTTAAAAATAATATTTTCTAAGAAATATCAATCTTATGGAATCATTACTACCAGAGATATCCCAAGGGGGGCCTTCATTTGTGAATACGCCGGTGAGCTTCTTACAAGGGAAGAGGCAATGAAACGTATATATGAAAACAAAAAACAAGGTCGAATGAATTATGTGCTCTGCTTAAAGGAGAGTCTTAATGGTCCCCATCTTGATGTAACAAACAACGGGGGATTTACAATAATTGTGGACCCGGCCAAAAGAGGAAATATTGGGCTATATTTAAATCATAGCTGCAATCCGAATTGTCAGATATTTAGTGTACGAGTAGATTCGCCAATACCAAATATAGGTAATTACCCAAAATACCTGTCAACATAACTTTTGACCAAGCACTTTGAACAGGTCAGGAACAAATCTAGCTTAGTAAAAACTCTCGGATGTTTTTTAATTTCTTTTTTGGGGAGGTAGGTATTTGTACCCCGATGCCGGTTAAAACATCTTCATTTTCTTGGGTGGACGTACCCGGGTAAACGGATATCAAAAAAAATCGATAAAGTTTTCATTGTTACAAATGTTAGATTATGTCTTTATCTTCCTCGGATACAGAGATAATAGTATAACAATTAAATTCACTAACCAACTTTTTATGTAGGTTACCTTTGGTCGTGGCTTAGGATTTCCCCTTTGTGTATGTCCAAAACCGGATACGGGAACCAAAGTTTTTCTAAATTTGATACTGTTTTAAGTAAAATTGTTACTTTTTTAAGGAGCGGGCGTTGACTGGGACTTTTCGGTCCCATTTGGACTTTTGGGGGTTTTTATTTAAAATCCGGGTCCAAAAAATTACTAATTTTGATATAACTTCGGGATCATTTTTAAATAATTTGACCACTTTTTGGAAAGGTCTACATCTGTTTAATAGATCCGTTTCTGATCCAATATGCGACTACTGTGTTAAATATGTCCCCCAGGAAAAATATTTTTCTGTAATCAGGGTACAAATATGGTACAATGAAATCAAGGTTAGCCGCAGCTACCAATCTATTTCAAATTTTTTATTTGCTAGATTTAACATCTCTAATGTTGCTGTGTATATGTGTGTATTCTTTTCAATTATATGAAAATTTTTAGGAAATATCCAAATTCAGGTGTAACCACAATGCTTATACAACGTATGTATTATATTAAGATGTATTTAGAACATATCTCGCCTCACACCAAAACATATATATCGGTAACATATATTACCATCAAGGCCTGCACGTTTAATTGGGTATAAACAGCGCAAACCATTTAATATATATTAGTACCAAGAAAATATGGAATATTTACTTGATGAAGTTTGCAGCAAAATTTGTAGTCAGATGGGCCTTCTAACTCATTCTTACTGTCAGAATGCTTGAAACTGAATTCCTAAGTCGACTGCTAGATAAAAGGTAATAGGACGACATGCATTTGAATGAAATTCCTAGAGAGTAATGAGAGAGTTTTGATCATTCAATTTCTTCTTATAATGCCCGTTACTCCCATCAGTAAATGAGGTGAACTTCTATCAGCACGAAAGCCGCACTAGAAACCACTTAATAAATTATTTGCGTTTATATAATTCAATAATAGGCGTTTCAGAAAAAATACAGCTTGGGTTTTCATGTATTAGCATCTAACATCATGTAGATGTTCATACACTGAATTAAATTAGGAAAAAGAACTACTATGGAAAAATAATTTTTTTTAATTGTTATTTATCTTCGATAGCAACATTTTGGGATATTTTCCGGATGAACACAATGGAGCAGCAGGTCTTCCAGTGAATTAGTTGTTAAAAAGCAACAGCGCATTCTTTAACTTTAGTTGTATTTCAAATTCTAATTTAAGGAATATTTTCCATATGCAGTGACGACAATCCAAATTCATATGTATTCAATTCTTTCAATTTTTTTTTTACATTTTTACAGGAATTTTTGCCAAACGTTTCATTAAATCAGGGGAAGAACTGTGTTTTCACTATAATGAAGGGAGGAAGTGCTCACCACAATCAAGTTTTGAAGATCGTATACTATGTCTATGTAAATCTGAAGTATGCGAAAGCTTTTTACCCAACGCGGACATATAAACACAGATCTGAAACATGAACGGTTTAGTATGTTAGCAACAACGTATATACCCTAGCTGTTATGCCTTTTAGTTTGAGTATTTAACATTTTAATGAAAATAAAAAAATTGAATGAAATGGAATTTTATAGCATTTTTTTGCATGACAAATATATATATATATATATATATATATATATATATATATATATATATATATATATATATATATATAATTTTACCATGCTGTAAGTCCCACCCATGGTAGAAAAATATAGGTAGACGCGTCGACACAGCTGCTGGGACAATGAACTGTCAAACCAATTTTGGAATTGAAAATCTTGAATGGAAAATTATTTAAATTTGTAAAAATTGTTGAAAAACGCGAATTATAATAGCCTCCGAATGATGCTAGGAACACAATTGGAGCGAACGACGAATTTCGCCCTACGCGGCGACAAAATGAGCCGCGAAAATTCGTCGTATGGAACACAATACCGACGAAATTATAAAACAGCTGATGAAGTTGTTTACTTTTTGCTCATTTGTTGACTACAATGAATTATACAAGAACACATAATTCTTTACGTTCTCTATTATAATTTCACTTATGTCCATTTCTCTATTATAAATTCACTGATATCCATCTTCACTCAGGCGCAAGTACACAAATAAATAAACAAATTAATTATGTTTTTTTTATACGAGTAACAGATAGTAGAGTGACCATAACAAATTTTAAAGTAAAAAGTAACTTTATTTACTACAACACATAAAATTCGTACAAGTATGGCCACCTTGTACTGTTTTGTTCGCCGGTCGCCGGCGTATGAAATAGAAATAAAGCTAATTGAGTTCGCGGCGACCGACGAAATTTTCGCCGGTGCCGTGATTGTGTGCACTTCCATATACACATATGTGTTTTATTTTTGACGACGAACATACGCCGCGAAAAAATTCGTCGTTCGCTCCAATTGTGTTCCTAGCATGACGTAGTATAAGAAACCATATAAAAAATCCACTTATATTCGAAAAAACATTTAAATTTTTTTGACATGTCAATGCTCCCAAGCGTTGATGCATCTACCTGTATTCTTCTGCCATGGTCCCACCATATGCTAGGAACACAATTGGAGCGAACGACGAATTTCGCCCTACGCGGCGACAAAATGAGCCGCGAAAATTCGTCGTATGGAACACAATACCGACGAAATTATAAAACAGCTGATGAAGTTGTTTACTTTTTGCTCATTTGTTGACTACAATGAATTATACAAGAACACATGATTCTTTACGTTCTCTATTATAATTTCACTTATGTCCATCTTCTCTATTATAAATTCACTGATATCCATCTTCACTCAGGCGCAAGTACTCAAATAAATAAACAAATTAATTATGTTTTTTTTTATACGAGTAACAGATATTAGAGTGACCATAACAAATTTTAAAGTAAAAAGTAACTTTATTTACTAAAACACATAAAATTCGTACAAGTATGGCCACCTTGTACTGTTTTGTTCGCTGGTCGCCGGCGTATGAAATAGAAATAAAGCTAATTGAGTTCGCGGCGACCGACGAAATTTTCGCCGGTGCCGTGATTGTGTGCACTTCCATATACACATATGTGTTTTATTTTTGACGACGAACATACGCCGCGAAAAAATTCGTCGTTCGCTCCAATTGTGTTCCTAGCAATAAGTTGAACCGGAATTTGAAATCGAGTATGAATAGTCGAGTACTCGGTTTCACCCAAGTCCATAGTCGTGTTCGAGTTTCAAACCTTTGAGTACTAAAGGTCCATTATTCGATTAATCAGAAGTCGACTTACCTATCCCTAGCATAGCAAACATAAACAAACAATCACAGCACAGCAAGCAGTTTAAAAACAAATTGTACAATTGTACAACAATCATAGCACAGCAAGCAGTTTAAAAACAAATTTGTTACAAATTCATTTTGATGCTATAGCTGGCATTTGGTTATGGAAAACAATTTTATTGATGATTACGAACATATCAATTCCGAAGTGGAGTACATATTGGAAAATGTGTTGAGCGAGGATACGTTACAAAGCTCAAGTCCAGAATCGAAGCAATTAGTGGATTTGTTTAATACACTTTTATTAAACAAATGCTCATGCAAAGAATGTAATAATTATTTGTGCACTCATGGATGTTCCTATGAGCCCGATTTGGAATCTAAGGAGCTCGTGATTTCAAGGGATAATTTTAGTGATTTATTGTACGAGTGCACGTCCCTTTGTTCCTGCAAAACAAAAACCTGTTGCAATAGATTGGTGCAATATGGGCCCAGAAAAGATTTAAAAATAATATTTTCTAAGAAATATCAATCTTATGGAATCATTACTACCAGAGATATCCCAAGGGGGGCCTTCATTTGTGAATACGCCGGTGAGCTTCTTACAAGGGAAGAGGCAATGAAACGTATATATGAAAACAAAAAACAAGGTCGAATGAATTATGTGCTCTGCTTAAAGGAGAGTCTTAATGGTCCCCATCTTGATGTAACAAACAACGGGGGATTTACAATAATTGTGGACCCGGCCAAAAGAGGAAATATTGGGCGATATTTAAATCATAGCTGCAATCCGAATTGTCAGATATTTAGTGTACGAGTAGATTCGCCAATACCAAAAATAGGTAATTACCCAAAATACCTGTCAACATAACTTTTGACCAAGCACTTTGAACAGGTCAGGAACAAATCTAGCTTAGTAAAAACTCTCGGATGTTTTTTAATTTCTTTTTTGGGGAGGTAGGTATTTGTACCCCGATGCCGGTTAAAACATCTTCATTTTCTTGGGTGGACGTACCCGGGTAAACGGATATCAAAAAAAAATCGATAAAGTTTTCATTGTTACAAATGTTAGATTATGTCTTTATCTTCCTCGGATACAGAGATAATAGTATAACAATTAAATTCACTAACCAACTTTTTATGTAGGTTACCTTTGGTCGTGGCTTAGGATTTCCCCTTTGTGTATGTCCAAAACCGGATACGGGAACCAAAGTTTTTCTAAATTTGATACTGTTTTAAGTAAAATTGTTACTTTTTTAAGGAGCGGGCGTTGACTGGGACTTTTCGGTCCCATTTGGACTTTTGGGGGTTTTTATTTAAAATCCGGGTCCAAAAAATTACTAATTTTGATATAACTTCGGGATCATTTTTAAATAATTTGACCACTTTTTGGAAAGGTCTACATCTGTTTAATAGATCCGTTTCTGATCCAATATGCGACTACTGTGTTAAATATGTCCCCCAGGAAAAATATTTTTCTGTAATCAGGGTACAAATATGGTACAATGAAATCAAGGTTAGCCGCAGCTACCAATCTATTTCAAATTTTTTATTTGCTAGATTTAACATCTCTAATGTTGCTGTGTATATGTGTGTATTCTTTTCAATTATATGAAAATTTTTTAGGAAATATCCAAATTCAGGTGTAACCACAATGCTTATACAACGTATGTATTATATTAAGATGTATTTAGAACATATCTCGCCTCACACCAAAACATATATATCGGTAACATATATTACCATCAAGGCCTGCACGTTTAATTGGGTATAAACAGCGCAAACCATTTAATATATATTAGTACCAAGAAAATATGGAATATTTACTTGATGAAGTTTGCAGCAAAATGTGTAGTCAGATGGGCCTTCTAACTCATTCTTACTGTCAGAATGCTTGAAACTGAATTCCTAAGTCGACTGCTAGATAAAAGGTAATAGGACGACATGCATTTGAATGAAATTCCTAGAGAGTAATGAGAGAGTTTTGATCATTCAATTTCTTCTTATAATGCCCGTTACTCCCATCAGTAAATGAGGTGAACTTCTATCAGCACGAAAGCCGCACTAGAAACCACTTAATAAATTATTTGCGTTTATATAATTCAATAATAGGCGTTTCAGAAAAAATACAGCTTGGGTTTTCATGTATTAGCATCTAACATCATGTAGATGTTCATACACTGAATTAAATTAGGAAAAAGAACTACTATGGAAAAATAATTTTTTTTTAATTGTTATTTATCTTCGTTAGCAACATTTTGGGATATTTTCCGGATGAACACAATGGACCAGCAGGTCTTCCACTGAAGTAGTTGTTACAAAGCAACAGCGCATTCTTTAACTTTAGTTGCATTTCAAATTCTAATTTAAGGAATATTTTCTATATGCAGTGACGACAATCCAAATTCATATGCATTCAATTCTTTCAATTTTTTTTTACATTTTTACAGGAATTTTTGCCAAACGTTTCATTAAATCAGGGGAAGAGCTGTGTTTTCACTATAATGAAGGGAGGAAGTGCTCACCACAATCAAGTTTTGAAGATCGTATACTATGTCTATGTAAATCTGAAGTATGCGAAAACTTTTTACCCAACGCGGACATATAAACACAGATCTGAGACATGAACGGTTTAGTATGTTAGCAACAACGTTTATACCCTAGCTGTTATGCCTTTTAGTTTGAGTATTTAACATTTTAACGAAAATAATAAAATACGGATTTTCAACGGATACTCTGGCACTTCTGGGCTAAGAAAATCATGTAAGGTACTAATATGTACTACTAGCAGCAACCAGCGTTGTATGAAATGGAATTTTATAGCATTTTTTTACATGACTTATAGCCTGTTCAGCAAACTTATTTTTTTTCCAATTGCAAGACAAATGGCAGACAAATGGGATTTTCGGTTTTCGTACGTAAGTAATCAAAAAGAGCTTTTTTATATGCTCAACTAACTCCAAAACAAACAAAACGAAATGCCAAAGTAGACAATCAAAAATATCGAACGTTTTTTCGCTAATTGTAAACAAAGTGAAATACTGTTTGAAGATGGATATTTCACACAAAAGGTATGGTTCATTTCATTCGCTGTGCTGTGTCGATCCCAGCAGGTGCGCTTCTTCGCTATATTATCATGACCTGACAGACTACTAAATCAGGAAAATCTCTTGTTGGTCCATTTCAAGCCCTAAAGGTTCTTATTCTGACCCTAACCCTGACTCAATGCAAAATTTGGTGAGGTTTGCGTCATAATTGTGACCTGTAGCGTGATTACAAATAAATCGACCCAGTTCGGCGAGATAAATAGATACATATGTAAAATCGTGGGTCAAGAACCAATATTTCGAGGTTTGTGGCATCACCTAAACTCTGGCGGATTAGGTTGATACTTCCGCCACCCCCATTTACACTTTCATTTAAAATGGAAAATCTAAAAACGGCGCCCAGTCCACATTGCAATTAAGGGAATTATGACCTTTTTTCGGTCATAGTCCCAATAATAAAGTGGAGACTATGACCGTCTGCTGTGAGGACTACATAAAAAAATATTAAACGTAGTAAACTTGGGTTCGCCTAAGCCGATGCCGGACATTCCGGGAGGTGAAAGTCTTTTGACATACACTTTATTATGGGGGTTACGTCTGCTACTTTCAGGGGCTTACGACCTTTTTTTCATGGACATGGTCCCCATTCCATTATGGGGGTTTGGTCATAATCCCCAAAAAGTTGCGAACATAGTCCCTATAATAATGGACAGTCCAAAACGACTGGGTGTGCGGAAAAATTGACGTTTTCTCCTCCGAGTATGCCCCGCACCGGCTATCACGAATCAAAGATTTAAAAAAATAATAATTTTTGTAAGTAGTCCACACAACAAACGGTTATACTCCCCATGGGGATTGTGTCCGTTTTGGAAGCGGACATAATCCCCACATTATTATGGGGGTTACGACCAAAATCAAACCGGACATAATTCCCATAATTATAATGGGGATCATGACCGTGCCAACGGACGCAATCATTTTTTTTTTAAATATGTCTTAAAAAAAGTTCTGTGAACAGGCTATTAATCTGTTTATAGCGACTACGTTTAGGACAGATTTCTTAGTAGTTTGTTACTAGGACGCGTGTCTGCTCAAGATTTCATTTAATTTGTTCCATATCCACAAATATACAAACATGAGTCTGTGTCAGTTTCGTTAAAATTCAGAGCAGATCCCCAGACTGCGCATTCCAATGAGTTTTTATTTTAAATACACATTTGAGTTGAATTATCTTTGGATCAAAGGATAATTAGCAACATGATTAAATGAATATCAGCAGATAATCAATAGAAATATTAGTGAAATACGTACTAATAATTACCTTCGCCTTTATAAAGCAAAAACTTCAAATTTATTTAGGACTTTAATAATATAAATGCATTTTCTTTAGTTATAGTTTAACATATGAGATTATATACTGAGTTTTGTAAGAAAACATATAAATATTAATAGAATATTTGTTTCTTGTAATTGTACATACACATTAGGTAGGTACTAAGCAAAAATATAAAAGTATATGGTATAAAAATAATAATATTCAATTTCATTTTAACATTAATACGTAGATAAAAACGAGATGGCGATTGAAAACTTTGTGTCAGCCTTAAAAGCGATTCTTCTCGTAATCGTTGCGCTAGTTTTCTGTAAAAAATACAAATATCCAATAATCAAAGGAATACATTTTATGAAAAGGTGTCAGATTCTTACTCAGCAATTTGGAAGCTTCGTCGTATTTGTCCGCAACAGCGTCTTTTAGCTTTTCTAGGTTGTCTTTGAGATCATCACTGTGATCCCCGTCATGGTAGTATACAAAGTAGACTACAACCCCGACAATTATTATAACCACAAGGAATGTACTTATTATCGACAAAAGAACGCCCAAGGCACAATTCAAGCAGCTGCAATAAATAATAATATTAGTTCAGCCCATAAAAACATATTTTTTATATAAATATATATTTATTTATACGAAATGTAGTAAACGTCGAAAACGTCATATACCTGTATAAAACGTAAAAAAGTATAAAACAGCATATGCTTCTTAAATATTATTGATAAACGTTTAGGTCGTAGTGAAACCTTGCCGATCATAATGAAGATCGTTTCCTTTTGTAAATGTCCCAAATCTGGCAAAGTTAGATTAGAAAACTTAAAACCTAACGCTAGATTTTTGTTCTATAAAAATATGAAATGAAAAGTATTTTCTTTAAAACATTTTTCAATTACCCGCCTTTATTAAATTTTTAATTTCAGATTTTTATAGAACAGGAATTTAGCACTTATGTTTTGTTGTTGCAAATTGCTAAACTTAAGGCCGTTGTTCTTTTCATTACTACTTCACTCCAGCATTTAAATGTGAATAAATCTTTTGTGACTCGTACCATCGCTCATTACCGTGATATTGGTAGCGTAGCCCGACGTCAAGGAAGCGGACGGAAGAAAACAGCAACATCAACAGAAATGGTTCGGAAAGTAAGACGCGACTTGATCGAAACCCGCGTCGCAGTGGCCGAAAAATGACTCGTGAGCTGAACATATCGCAATATTCCGTTCGGCAAATATTGAAAAATGAGCTTGGGGTAAAGCCATTGAAATTCCAAAAAGTGCAAGAACTTACACCGCAACAGAATTCTTTCTGTTCTTTCTCAAAAGAGCTAAAGAGTTTGCTTCGCTTGGCCGAAAGTGGTAAACTGCCGAATTTGGGTTTCTCCGATGAGAAAACATTCGTTGTCCAGCATTTTGTAAACAAACAAAATGATCGTGTTTACTTGCCAAAACTGAAAATGTGCACCTTCGGTTGGTCACCAGAACTCAAGCGCAGGCCATGGTGATGGTGAGGGCCGCCATAAGAGTCGATGGTCGCTCTCCGCTCGTATTAATCGACCGTGGCATCAGAATATATGCCGAAAAGTATGGCGAAAATATTCTGGAGGGTGTATTAAATTCTTGGGCACGCAAACATTTTGGCCGCAGACCTTGGACATTCCAACAGGACTCAGCGTCATCGCACTCAGCACGCGCCACCCAAGTTTGGTTACAAAATGAGGTTCCTCGCTTCAATTCCAGCGCACATGGACACCAAAATCTGCGGATACCAATCCGTTGGACTATCGTGTCTGGAGTATTTTGGAAAGGTTGGCACTAAAAATATCAAACCTCAAGCAAGCGCTTCGCAGGGAATGGGCCAAAATACCGCAGAGCAACATTCTCGCAGCGTGCGACGGCGAGTTCGGCGAGATAAATAGATACATATGTAAAATCGTAGGTCAAGAACCAATATTTCGAGGTTTGTGGCATCACCTAAACTCTGGCGGATTAGGTTGATACTTCCGCCACCCCCATTTACACTTTCATTTAAAATGGAAAATCTAAAAACGGCGCCCAGTCCACATTGCAATTAAGGGAATTATGACCTTTTTTCGGTCATAGTCCCAATAATAAAGTGGAGACTATGACCGTCTGCTGTGAGGACTACATAAAAAAATATTAAACGTAGTAAACTTGGGTTCGCCTAAGCCGATGCCGGACATTCCGGGAGGTGAAAGTCTTTTGACATACACTTTATTATGGGGGTTACGTCTGCTACTTTCAGGGGCTTACGACCTTTTTTTCATGGACATAGTCCCCATTCCATTATGGGGGTTTGGTCATAATCCCCAAAAAGTTGCGAACATAGTCCCTATAATAATGGACAGTCCAAAACGACTGGGTGTGCGGAAAAATTGACGTTTTCTCCTCCGAGTATGCCCCGCACCGGCTATCACGAATCAAAGATTTAAAAAAATAATAATTTTTGTAAGTAGTCCACACAACAAACGGTTATACTCCCCATGGGGATTGTGTCCGTTTTGGAAGCGGACATAATCCCCACATTATTATGGGGGTTACGACCAAAATCAAACCGGACATAATTCCCATAATTATAATGGGGATCATGACCGTGCCAACGGACGCAATCATTTTTTTTTTAAATATGTCTTAAAAAAAGTTCTGTGAACAGGCTATTAATCTGTTTATAGCGACTACGTTTAGGACAGATTTCTTAGTAGTTTGTTACTAGGACGCGTGTCTGCTCAAGATTTCATTTAATTTGTTCCATATCCACAAATATACAAACATGAGTCTGTGTCAGTTTCGTTAAAATTCAGAGCAGATCCCCAGACTGCGCATTCCAATGAGTTTTTATTTTAAATACACATTTGAGTTGAATTATCTTTGGATCAAAGGATAATTAGCAACATGATTAAATGAATATCAGCAGATAATAAAGAGTTTAAATCAATAGAAATATTAGTGAAATACGTACTAATAATTACCTTCGCCTTTATAAAGCAAAAACTTCAAATTTATTTAGGACTTTAATAATATAAATGCATTTTCTTTAGTTATAGTTTAACATATGAGATTATATACTGAGTTTTGTAAGAAAACATATAAATATTAATAGAATATTTGTTTCTTGTAATTGTACATACACATTAGGTAGGTACTAAGCAAAAATATAAAAGTATATGGTATAAAAATAATAATATTCAATTTCATTTTAACATTAATACGTAGATAAAAACGAGATGGCGATTGAAAACTTTGTGTCAGCCTTAAAAGCGATTCTTCTCGTAATCGTTGCGCTAGTTTTCTGTAAAAAATACAAATATCCAATAATCAAAGGAATACATTTTATGAAAAGGTGTCAGATTCTTACTCAGCAATTTGGAAGCTTCGTCGTATTTGTCCGCAACAGCGTCTTTTAGCTTTTCTAGGTTGTCTTTGAGATCATCACTGTGATCCCCGTCATGGTAGTATACAAAGTAGACTACAACCCCGACAATTATTATAACCACAAGGAATGTACTTATTATCGACAAAAGAACGCCCAAGGCACAATTCAAGCAGCTGCAATAAATAATAATATTAGTTCAGCCCATAAAAACATATTTTTTATATAAATATATATTTATTTATACGAAATGTAGTAAACGTCGAAAACGTCATATACCTGTATAAAACGTAAAAAAGTATAAAACAGCATATGCTTCTTAAATATTATTGATAAACGTTTAGGTCGTAGTGAAACCTTGCCGATCATAATGAAGATCGTTTCCTTTTGTAAATGTCCCAAATCTGGCAAAGTTAGATTAGAGAACTTAAAACCTAACGCTAGATTTTTGTTCTATAAAAATATGAAATGAAAAGTATTTTCTTTAAAACATTTTTCAATTACCCGCCTTTATTAAATTTTTAATTTCAGATTTTTATAGAACAGGAATTTAGCACTTATGTTTTGTTGTTGCAAATAGCTAAACTTAAGGCCGTTGTTCTTTTCATTACTACTTCACTCCAGCATTTAAATGTGAATAAATCTTTTGTGACTCGTACCATCGCTCATTACCGTGATATTGGTAGCGTAGCCCGACGTCAAGGAAGCGGACGGAAGAAAACAGCAACATCAACAGAAATGGTTCGGAAAGTAAGACGCGACTTGATCGAAACCCGCGTCGCAGTGGCCGAAAAATGACTCGTGAGCTGAACATATCGCAATATTCCGTTCGGCAAATATTGAAAAATGAGCTTGGGGTAAAGCCATTGAAATTCCAAAAAGTGCAAGAACTTACACCGCAACAGAATTCTTTCTGTTCTTTCTCAAAAGAGCTAAAGAGTTTGCTTCGCTTGGCCGAAAGTGGTAAACTGCCGAATTTGGGTTTCTCCGATGAGAAAACATTCGTTGTCCAGCATTTTGTAAACAAACAAAATGATCGTGTTTACTTGCCAAAACTGAAAATGTGCACCTTCGGTTGGTCACCAGAACTCAAGCGCAGGCCATGGTGATGGTGAGGGCCGCCATAAGAGTCGATGGTCGCTCTCCGCTCGTATTAATCGACCGTGGCATCAGAATATATGCCGAAAAGTATGGCGAAAATATTCTGGAGGGTGTATTAAATTCTTGGGCACGCAAACATTTTGGCCGCAGACCTTGGACATTCCAACAGGACTCAGCGTCATCGCACTCAGCACGCGCCACCCAAGTTTGGTTACAAAATGAGGTTCCTCGCTTCAATTCCAGCGCACATGGACACCAAAATCTGCGGATACCAATCCGTTGGACTATCGTGTCTGGAGTTGGCACTAAAAATATCAAACCTCAAGCAAGCGCTTCGCAGGGAATGGGCCAAAATACCGCAGAGCAACATTCTCGCAGCGTGCGACGGTTTCATTGGCCGTTTAAAGGCCTTGATTCGTGCCAAAGGTGACCAACTGAAGCAAATCTTATTTGAAAATTTGATGCTATTTCCGACATTTTTTGCTTTAATTCAATAAAATTAAAAAAAATGTAAAAATTATGGCGTTTGTCTTTGTTGCAGTTTTTTTTTTATCTTATTACGGTATAACAGTCGATATTCGATATTTTGATGATTTCTGCTATTTATTCACGGATTTGTTTAAAAATTGGTATTTATAGTTCATAATGGGTTCTAGCCCGGTGGCAGAACATTGAATATTTAGTTCCAAGTTTTCCTATAGCGCACATAATGATACCCACCGATATTCGGTATTTTGATAATCCTAGTGACATTTACGCACATAATTGTTTCAAATTTGGTATTTAGAAGATTTGATAGATAGATAGATTTGATAGATTTTTAGCCAAATCGATTGGAAATTTGTTAGTAATAGTTGAAATCATGAGGTACCTTCACATGTGCGCTACTCCGTAACATTGGCCTACATTAAACATTTTCCTCGAAGTGGTTTTCTACCTCCTTAGAAACCAAGATGCTAAATAAGGGCAAAATCAATTGAAAAATTTGGCCAAGACCCGGGAAATAGCTAAAATCAGGGAGCACCTTCATATGATGTTTTGCTAGGATGGGTTTTTCTTACTAAGAACTCAATTCCAAAAATTTGTCGACATTAGTATGAAAAATGTGGCTAACAAATAAAAAATACTTGAAATCGGGATATACCCTTAAGTGGGTGCTATACCGCAACGTTGACCGATACGATCCATATCGTATCAAATTTGAAAGCTCTACTTAAATATTGCGAAATATAGAACAACATATTTGAGACCCTTTTGGTATGAATAAGGCTATATAATGGACCATAAAAATAAAACATCCGCCCAAATATTGCATTTTTAGTCCTCATTTGACGGATTATTACCATATGAAAGAAGAAGGTTTAGGAGTTCGTATCTTACAGCAGAAGCGCGATGTAGGTCCTCAGATTTTAATTCTTGTCAGGAAAGATCAGTATTTAACATCGTATTGTGCTCTAATTTCTTTTCCAATGTCTTTCATTCAGAATTTAAAAAAAAACTAAAATTTTTTTAAGTGAGTTTTTTTTTTTTGATTTTATCCTTTTCTGCCAAGAGACCATTCCGAATGGGCTATCATTTTGAAATTTGATTCCATTGAAAATTTTTTCTCGATTTTTTTTCCCAATTTTAGAATTTTTTCGAATTTTCTATTTTCTATCGCAAATTTTGCGAAGTTTAGAGAAAAATATTTGATGTCCTTTGTGTATAGTTAGGGCTATATAATGGGCCGTAAAAAGTATGGCAATTTGCATTTTCAAAAAAATTTCAATAAAGTTAATCAAATTGAAAAAAAAAACCGTTTGAACACGTTATTATTTTTTTATATCTTATCCTCTTCTGAATAACACGTATATTTCCACTTACCCAATAAATTCAAAAAATCTATAAACACCAGTTTTGTCCGTTGTCGCTTTATACTACCCGAAAAATACTACACATTACATTAGAATTCAAAAACAAACTGCCACACTCGGAGACCTTTGGTCCTTTGTATTCATCCTAAGAAAAATAGTTTTTGGTGATAGGAGAGACAGAGAAAAGAGGGTTTATAGATAGTAAAGTTAGCATTATGGTCTATGTTTGGAAAGAAGGTTAGAGTTTCTATCTTCCACCTGCCGGATAGCCCGTCTTTTGTTGGATAACATGGGGCATCTACATAATAGGTGTTCAATCGTCTCTAACTTCACACAGTCTACAGTTGTCAGGAACACTGTTATCCCATCTTGAAATCATATATCTTATACTGCAGGGGCCATTTAGTATGCTAACGATTCTTAATTCATCTGGGTTACTGGGTTCTTAATTCGCCTGTATAAAAACCAAAACAAACCGACCAGAGGAGGATCCCCACCAGTGCAGGTGTCCCTATCAGTTATCTTAATGTCAATATACTTGAAGTCGAAAATGGTGGGCATGTAATCACTAATTATATTTCCTTCACCATGTATATTCCGACTTATTTTTGCAAATTGGGGAGTATTCTTGAGATCTCCGGTTATAAGTAAATAAGGACGCGGTCCTCTGTACTGTGGCTAGTTTGGACACGAGCGTTTTTGATTCAATCGCATGCCACCAGACGTGACACACATAGGTCATACACAACGTGTAGACAACTGTGAGGTACATCCAGAGTACGACTTGTGGTGTAAGCCCCTAACTCTTCCCTACGACATTTCTACATGAATAGAGCACAATGAGGTCCTTTCCGTACGCCTCTCGATGTTCTTGCTCCAGAGACCCACTCTCTTCTCCTTCTATTTCGAGTGCTCCTGCCTTGAACGTGTGTGCTTGTAGGTGCGACGTTGGTTTAATAATTTTTCTTAAATATATCATGGTCGTCGTTGTAACAATAGGAGTTACAAATAGAGCATTGCATAAATTTGGTTTTATGTGGCTTACAATAAATATCCCATATCCAAGAAATCTAACAACAACAGAATTTAAACGTATGTATTGAGTACAACAATTTATCCAGGATGATGTCATGACAATATACGGGAAGAAATGTTTCGGTTGCTTGGCATTTATTTGTTTCTGTAATCGTAAAAGCAATGGGATAACTTGGTATGGGTAAATAAAATCATCCCCTACTAACGAGCAATTCCTAATAAATTGTTCTGATTATTAGGGGAAGAATATAAGAAATAAATGACAAGATGTATATTCAAACAAATGACGCGCACAGTCTACATAAAAGTTTCATAATACCGATGTCGATGAGTTTATGAAAACACTACTTCACATAGTCGGCATGCTCTGACGTATTCAAAAAGAACAAAAGAAAATTCCAGCCCACTCCCCATTTTGGTCATGAAATATGTTTTATTGTTAGAATATTGGCGCCAAAATATTTACGCTGTCTCTTTATCTTAGCTCACTTTATTGTCATGTCCGTCTCGGCGTTTGTGTTTGTTTCCTTAAGTCCTACAAAAATATGACGATGAATATCAATTGTTGGCTTGTTCTTTGACTTTGTCATTGTTTAAAATTCCTTTGTTTAACACTATATGCCAATTTTTTAAGCAACAGGATATCAGTAAATGTAAGAAAACATGCAAAATATTACACGGGGACTTTTATTCTCCAATAGCATTATTGCAGTAAACTCACACCACAGTCAAAATTTCTCTCTCATTTCGGACTTTTTTACAGAACTTTTACTTAAAAACTCCACATTCAGTAGTTTTCTAACTATTGTTACATGGTAGCTAATAAAAAGAAAAAACATATGTGAAGTAATGTTAGTGACAGAAATATATGCCAAAATCCTTGGTCCAGGTTGATTATGATATTTCATTTGGTTCTTCAAAGCGTATTTCATTAATCTCTCTCTTTTAATATTGTAAAAAAATATTAATTAATTTTGATTTTTAAATATTAAATTTTCCCTGAGGTTGCTTATTGAAATATGTAAATCGATGTTAACGTTTCCATACGAGAGACACTAATATCTGCTCGAGATTGGTAATAATCTTTATAGAGTGGTTTATAAATCTATTTTCGTGTTAAGATCCTTATTAATTTTGACAAAATTTACTGATTTTCTTTTGTCTATTACCATATTTTATGCAGTTGAAAATATTTGCTTCGATACTGAAAATTGAGTTGACATAAACGTCATTATAAATAAAAAAAACCAGAAATACTTCATTTGATCCGAATTTTAAGAATAATTAAACGAGTATTGTACATTTGCTTTATTTCTGAAAAATTTGGTTTTCTATAACAACATTGTTGCTTTTGTAGTATTAATAATATAAATAATAAATTTATAAGCTTTTGTTAAAAACAATGGTATCTCATAATGTATTTCTTCGAATGTCGAAATAATGCCTAAAAATCAGGTCTGCAAACCACTTGTCGATTTGGGTCGGTTCGGTTAAGTGGATCACACTACCTTTAAAACAGGGCTCAGTTTTTGAAATGGGGTTTCAGGCGGCCCGGGCCGTGGTTTTGGCTCGATTCAGTTTTATATGACAACATTTTGACAAATTCATTAAATTAGTCGGTGTGGCGAAGCCTCCGAGCAATTTTCATATTTATAGAATAAGTAAGTATATTTTTAATTTTATGATTTTAACTGTTACATTACGACACAAATTACTAATTTGGAGCCACAACTTGATGAACCGAACAATTTTTTTTAAAAATTAAAATGAGTAGAGAAATTTAACTATGGTTGCTAAAACAAACATGCATATATTTACTTCAATCTGTAAATATTTGAGAGCCAGATTAAATACAAAGATTGCATATACAAACAGTAAAATTAGAATTTTATCTTATATTCCGTCATGAAAGATAAGCAACATTTTTGAGTTGAATATATTTGTCCAACCACAGACCTATACTTTTAGAAAATGTTTTAGAGTACGCAATACGGCGAATGACTTATTGGATGTATTTGCTATTTATACCCTACAACACTATGTGTTATAAGTTTGATTGGGCCAAAAATTATGTAACACGTCGAAATATCGAGCTCCTATCTCGCCGAGCTGAGTCGATCTAGTTATGTATGTCCGCCCATCCGCCCGACTGTCCATGTTAATTTGCAATTACGTTACAGGTCGTAATTATGGCTCGATGCTCACGAAATTGAAAATGGAAGTGGAGATAGGGCCGGAATAGAAGCCTATTGTTTTTGGAGATGATCGTATAATATTAAGGGGTTTAAATGGACCAAAAACATAAAAAATCCTTATTTTGCAGAGGCAGAGGCCTGCCAATTTGTACGGCCATCGGACAATATTTAGCGAGTAAAAAAGTATAACTTTTCCACTAAACCTCGTATATTTTTAATCCCTGCCAAATCACAAATACATTAAAAGGTCACTTCTGACCATTACTGTGATGCTGATAGTCAATATTCGGATATATAGCGAAAAAGGTACAATCGATATGTATAAGAAATAGATCTTAGTTATTCTGCTTATACGACAAACAAAAACAGCTAGACTGATTTTCACAATTCTCTTCAATTCGGAATGGTCTCTTACCAGAAAAGGATAAAATCTATGAAAAGCAGGTAAAAATATGTCAATATTTTTTGATACATTTTTTTCAATTTTGCCCTATTTTTTTTGCATGCGATTTTTTTAATTTGACTTACAATTTTGAATTGTAAGTTTTCTCAAGTTTTTCTACACCCTGCAACACTATGTGTTGAGCGTATTATATACAATTATTGTCCAGTCCTTTTCAAATACCAGAATATTCCATTTGCGTCGTTGCAATTTCAAGTTGCGCCGGTCCGAGCTACATTGTGGATTACTATTTGCATTAGCAGTGTCTGATTTAGCATATTTTCTGTCGTTTAGCATTTCTATAACTTCTGGCAACAGTGATCGTCACCTGTACGTTAACAAATTTTCAAATTGCGTGAAATAAGGGGAATTCACTTTTATTTATGGGGCTATATGTGCGTACATATGTAAATGAATTTAATTTTTGTTATGATTTTTCTTAATTTGTTTTGATTTTTCTTTATAATAATTATAAACATTTTTGAAGTAAATGGAATAAATAAAAATGTATTCATACTTGTTTTTTTTATCAAAAATATAAAATTATTTGCTTTGTTTTGAATATTTTCCCCAGTAAATTAAATTACAGTGCATTTTGTATATGTATAGAAAACGGTGATTCGATTTGCGTCGTTTTGAAGTGGCGTTGCGATTTTCCGGTCCCCATTAACCACGCAAGTCGAGGCTCTAGTGCATTTAGTTGTAAAATGGACCACAACTTTAGTGTGAAATGTGCGTAAATATTAGGCAAAAGTCACTATGAAAAAGCTAAGGGTAACGGTAACATCTGGGCAGGGCTCTATGACATCATTTTGTAAGTGAAAGCTTCCGAATTCGATTCTGAAATAAGGAGGCTTTCAACATATTGTAGTGTTGTAGGGTATCACATGGTCGGCCCCGCACTACTATAGCCTAAGCGTACTTGTTTTTATATGAAGTACATAGGTATTAAATAAAGTTTTTTACATTACAAGCGATTTATATAAAATATTATTTTCACCTTCACAGTTCTGTAGGAATTTAATATTCGGGAAGAGAATGATGGCGGATCGATCTAAAAGTGTTACTACAGGTACCTCTGGGTCCTGAGTATAATGATATACCTTTTTTCTTGGGAAGTCAAAATTAATAAATTGTTCCTTAAAAATCTGGATGTAGCATCCAATTTGATGGGAGACTTGGGACCAGATTTTTTCCCTAACAAATGTGCTGAGCACATATATGCCCCGTTTTTTTTTTTAAATAATTGCAAAGGAGATTTGAAATATTCCATATCTTTATTACAAATCCTATTTAGTCATGAATAGGTCTTTATGGCGATGTCTACAATAGTATCCTCTTAACACAAATCTCAAAAGTGGCACATTATAAATATTCATTTTTTCAGTTCGCATTCACATTAAGCAAATAAATAATACACTCACCAACATGCAATATTCTGACCCAAACATTTGCACATCTTGTTAAAATTCGTACTTCCTGTTTCCTCAAATAGATACAAGTTCGTTGTAAGTAAACGCTAACGCTTAATTAATTTTCAAGACAGAAAGCAAGAGACACCGTGGCTAACCGCAAATACAGAATAAACAATACTAAATGAAATGAGCGAAAATGCAGAGAGGTTAAGTAGCTCACTAACATGCCACAGTTGCAAGAAGTGGGAGGTGTATACTTCTGTTTAAATGGGAGCGTAAAACGTATATCGTATCTTTACGACCCAACAACAAAAATGGTACGGAGTAACACTAGGACATGCTATAGTTGCAAGAAGTTGGTGGCAGTTTTTTTAAGGAGTCGCACAGAAAACATAATTTTTCAATACAAAGACGGTCCATGAAGGATTTAAAACAAGTTAAAAAACAGGTATCCAGGCATACCATTCCGGTGAATAACGTCGCTAATATCATAAAAATACCGAATATTTGGAGCTACAGTTATATGTGGGCAATACAAAGACGTGGACCTGCATAGACAATCATAGGCTTTAGACCCATCACGAACTTCTAATACGAAATTCGAAACAATTCCGGCGAACAACGTCGCTAAAATCGTCAAAATACCGAATATCGGGAGGAATTGATATATGGGCGCTATACTAAGATATGGACATCCAGGTCCTTCTTAGTCGCTATTATACCTATAAAATGTCATTCTGCGAGAACTATAAGTGTAATATCTGTGCTTACGATATATCAAGTATCCCAGAAAGAGGAGAGGGTGTTGACGAAGAGCTTTGCATGGACAAAATATTTGAGAGATTTAGTTTGGCGCTCAACCCAAATTTTTGAGAGTTATGTCGCAACGGACTCATGAATGCATCTCTCCAAAGAATTCACATAAAACAATCTGGAATTTCAACTTATTTGGAATACTAGTAAATCTGTACGAGTATTACACTTCTAAATTATGGGCGATGTCCGACCGTTCACTAATTTGCATGCTTGATGTATCCCTCCGCTGTATTAAACTTTTTATTTTCATACCTTCCGCCGTAGTATGAATGGTACAATAATGCCAATGAGAAGGTTTAGGTTTATTTTTTTGCGAATAGGAAGCCAAGGTGGATTTAATAAGGCGTAATTGACAATCATATGGCTTTTAACTATTTTATACTCGACAAAATAGTATGGAGGGTCTATTAAGTTTGTTATTCCGTTTGTAACACCTCGAAATATACATTTTAAATCCTACAAAGTATATATAATTTTGATCAGCATAAAATTCTATGTCGATTTAGCCATGTCCGTCCGTCTGTGGAAATCACTCTAGCTTCCGAATGAAGTAGGTTGATAAAATTATACTCAAATGTATATTATGTCTGCCCGACTTTTGGTATAGAAAATGGGCAATGTAGGTCCACATCTTCGTATAGCCCCCTCCCGATATTCGGTTCTTTGTTGACTTTCGCACTGTATTAACCGGAATTATTTCAAATATGGTATTTGAAGCTCGTAATGGATACTACAGATTATGACAGAAAATTGTCTGTGCAGGTCCACGTCTTCGTATGGCCCTCATATAACGGTACCTCCTGAGATTCGGTATTTTGACGATTTTAGCGACATTATTCTCCGGAATTGTTTTAAATTGTTTACTTGATGTTCGTAATAGATACTACAACATATGACAGAAAATTTTCTGTGCACGTCCACGTCTTCGTATAGCCCTCATATAACGGTACCTCCCGATATTCGGTATTTTGATGATTTTAGCGACATTATTCACCGAATTTTTTATTTAAATTTGGTATTTGAAGTTCGTAACGGATACTACAGCTAGTGGTACAATATGGAGGTAGAACAGCTTCGTAAAACTGCAGAGCAACAGCCCTGAGGCTATGTCCACTTTCTGTCAGATTTATTCAATTATTTTGACATTTTTCATTTATTTGACATTTTTTCGTTAAATTTTAAATAAGTCAAATAGCGAGAAAGGTGAAAGAAATGCCTGCATGTTCTCTCAAAAATATGTTCCATCTTTCAATTCCGTGGTTAATATCATAAATGCGCGCCCCGCAATTAAGGTTTCTTCCAACCATTGATTCAGAAAAAAATGTAATCAGCTGCTACCTCATTTTTCTTGTTGTTGTGCCATTATTCGTTATTATTTGTTCCAAACAGTTACCCGAAACGTTTGTTTTGTAATTTATTTGTAATGTGTTAGTTGTTGTAGTTTATGCACGCACCTTTTAAATACACCTTGTGTTGTGCTAAAGCCATGACAGAAGATTACAGGTAGTCGCATCAACGCAGCTGCTGGGACAATGAACTGTCAAAACAATTTTGGAGTTGAAATTTTTGAATTATTAAAATGTGTAACAATTGTTGAAAAATGCATATCATTGCAACCTCCACAATGTATCGTATAAAAAGACATATAAAAATCTGCTTACTTTTGAATAAAACATCCCTGAAATTTTTACATATCAATGTTTCTTAGTGTTGATGCATCTACCTGCATTCTTATGTAGATACCACACTGGACTTAAAATAAATTCGGTCATGAGAATATCTATTTTTGTAGGGAAATTCTGGTTGAAGAAATCCGTATTAAGTAGCAAAACCTGATAATGTGGGTTAATACATATAAAGTTTTGTGTACAAGGAGAACGACAAAGAAGAGTGCGAGAGTGTGTACGTAGACCAACAAAATGACATAAAACATATATAAATGAAGAAACCAAAAAATAACATTGTCGCAAAACAAGTAAAAAAGCAGCTATAAAAATCGTTATTTAGGGCTATACGAAGACGTTTTGTGTCATAGCCTGTAGTGACTGTTCCGAACTTTATATACAACATTTGAAATATATATATATATATATATATATATATATATATATATATATATATATATATATATATATATATATATATATATATATATATATATATATATATATATATATATACTCACAAGGAACTCCTTTTGTGGATTTTAAGACTATTCCATTGAAAAATGTGACCGTTAAATGGGGGATATACCATACAGAGTGAGATAAAAAACTGCAACAAAGTCAAACGCCACAATTTTTAAATTTTTTTAATTTTATCAAATGAAAGCAAAAAATGTCGGAAATAGCATCAAATTTTAGAATAAGTTAAGATTTGTTCGAATTTGTCACCTTTGGTACGAATTATGCCCTTCAAACGTCCAATGAAACTGTCACACTCTGCCCGAATGTTGCTCTGCGGTATTTTGGCCCACTCCCGGCGAAACACTTGCTTGAGATCGACACTTTGGTATTTATACCCTACACCACATAGTGGTAAGGGTATTATGTCTTTGTGCATTTGTTTGTAACATGGAGAAGGAAACGAGATAGACCCATAGTTACTTTTGAGAACCTTCATAGAATCACTTTCTGAGTCGATTTATGTATGTCAGTCCGTCTGTCCGTCCGTCTGTCCATGTATTCTTGTGAACAAAATGCAGGTCGCATTTATTATCCGATTGAGATAAAATTTTCCAAACACTATTTTTTTGGCCCAAGGACGAACCCTATTGAAATTGGTGAGAATCGGATCAAATTTAGATATAGCTCCCATATATATCTTCATCCGATTTCGGGTTAAATGTGCACCAAATGTCCACTATCAGTCCAAATTACCTGAATTTTGGCACACCCAACCGAGTTCGGCCTAGAAGCAAGTATATCAAATTTGGAGAAAATCGGTTCAGATATAGCTATAGCTCCCATATATATATTTTATCCGATTTGATCTTTAAGTCCCTCACATTCCTACTATGCACTCCACAACCGTGATATTTGGTACCAGGTATTAGATGGAGCACAGAAATAGCTGTTTTAAATTTTATCGAAATCGGTTCAGATTTGGATATAGCTTCCATATATATCTTCATCCGATTTCGGGCTAATTGGCCACCAAATGGCCAATATCAGCCCAAATGGCCCGAATTTTGGCACATGTGACCGAGATAAGCCTTAAAGAAAACGCAACAAATTTGGAGAAAATCGGTTCAGATATAGCTATAGCTCCCATATATATATTTTATCCGATTTGGTGTTTAAGCCTCTCACATTCGTAATATGCACTCCACAAGAATGATATTTGGTACCAGATAAAAGATACAGCCCAGAAATAGCTGTTTGTAATTTTATTGAAATCGGTTCAGATTTGGATATAGCTCCCATATATATCTTCACCCGATTTCGGGTTAATTGTGCACAAAATGACCGATATAAGTCCAAATGGACTGAATTTTAGTACATCGGACCAAATTCAGCCTAGAAGCAAGTATATCAAATTTATTGAAAATCGGTTCAGATATAGATTTGGCAACCATATATATGTTTCATCCGATTTAGTGTTTTAGTCCCTTACATTCGTAATATTCACTCCACAACCGTGATATTTGGTACCAGGTATCAGATGGAGCACAGGAATAGCTGTTTTAAATTTTACCGAAATCGGTTCAGATTTGGATATCGCTCCCATATATATCTTCATCCGATTTCGGGTGATTGACCACCAAATGGTCGTAATAGCATCAATTTTGGCAAATCCGACCGAAACCAGCTTAGAAGCAAGTACACCAATTTTAGTAAAAATCGGTTCAGATATAGCTATAGCTCCCATATATATCTTCATCCGATTTCGTTGTGCATCAAATGGCCAATATCAGCCCAAATGGCATGAATAAGACCGAATTCGGTTTAGAAGCTAAAATTTGGAGAAACCCGGTTCAGAGATAGCTATAGTTCGTAAAATGCACGATAGAATTAGATAGATTTTGATTTTGTACCAAATATCTCATAGAGCTCTGAAATGCCCTGTATAAACCTTTTTATGAGTGCTCTACTAAATATGCATAGTGGTGTAGGGTATCATATAGTCGGCCCCGCCCGACTTTTGAGCTTTCCTTACTGGTTTTAATAAGGATTGACATTTTGGTTTGTTTCGTCAATAACCGAAATGAGAAAATTTTGTGTGGACCAATTAGAAGTACCTGAAATATGTTATTATTCGCCAAGAAATACTTTATTACAAAGAATGTTTTTTCACATATCGGAAAAATCGCGCGTGCCTTTTCGTTGGAAATTGTTTCATTATTGTTGTAATTTTTGTGGTAGAACAATTTT